GAGTCAGAGTCCAGTCCTCCTACCTGTATGCATAACACGCCGGTGCCAGTTACTGGTTCTCAAGTACTCAGTAGTCTACTATGTAAGTTCTCGCGACCGAGCTCACAGGAGCTATTTTTACATGTGTGATTTATACCGGTAGCCCTTCAACACATCCGGACGCCTTGGATTCACCCCAATTGTACATGTACACTCCAAACCTGAATGGGCAAGAAGGCTCGAGTCTGACTCCCAGTAAAGCTTTCTTATTATTGAGTTTGGCGCGTAAAGAGAGCTGCAAAAAGCTCGTTCCGTATGGTAAAAGTACCTGTACGTATCGTGCTGGTACCGTACGGTATGACTGCGATACGTTTAGTGTGCGGTGTGCGGTACGTACGGTACCAGATTCATACCATGAGAGCTACATGTACTTTTAGAGTCTTGGTACATGTAATTGGAGACCGTAACAGCTCGTAATGATAACCGACATGTAACTCAGAAGCGGCTCTGAAGCTTTTTTACTTTTTTAAGCCCTAGCTGGTCTAGAGATACTAGAGTGATATGCACTATAAGACCCGCTACAGATTAAGACCATGGTAATATTCTTGGATTTGTACAGTAACTTCTATAGTAACAGTACACAACCTAACTAGCTACTACTAGCTAGTACTAGCTACCTACTACTACTAGCGAGTAGGAGTACTAGCTACTCTACTACCGGTAGTAGGTGAGCCACTATGCATGTGTGCGAAGATAGAGCCGAGCTCTATGCATAGACGTGCTTCAATACGGTAGAGGTGCCTACCGTATCATGTGCTTCGAGACCTAGTTTTTCACTCGATAGAGCACGGTACCGGTACAGTAGGATCCTACGTAGACTCAGTACCAGAGGCTACGTGTGACGTCATCCGGTCTAAATCTGCAGAGAAAAAGAATTCACTGTGGAAAGGGTGAAATCTTAAACCGCCCGTAACTCCACCAATAAGTACACTATCAAGCTGCGAGATTTATGGCATACTCAACTACATGTGTTCTATCGATTCCCCTCTTTACATGTACTATATTCGATATACAGACCTGAAGAGAATATTCCGCGGAACGGTCGGTCTTAATACCCAGATCACTCTAGCTGGCCCTTCCACCACCGAACTTTTTTGAAGTTTTGAAGCAGTCTTGAATCTTGGGTGCAGTGTATACAAACATTATACTCCAGTAACATACTAGTACTTTCACGGTGCGACACAGGACAGCATCCGAATTGAAAGAGCCAGAGCCGATGAGCCAGTTGTCAGCTCGTTGGGTTTGAGCGTTGATCTCACATCATCGCCTCTCCCTTGTCCTCTCTCCTATCAACTGGACCGCTCATCAGTACTAGCAGTCCATTATCTATCTTATCCGTCTAGCTAACATGAGCATGAGCGAGGACTGTAGTAGTATCGGGGGCGGAGGTAGCGTGGTGGATTTGGAGGAGGTGTGGCGAAGTGGCAATGTCCGGTGGGAAGAACAAATTGGTAGTTTGACGCTATCTCAGGATACCATTACCTTTGTACCTGCAGCTGCCATCACAACAGTTACTGATGAAGATAATGATAACGGAGTTAAATCCTGGAGTTTGGGTAGCATCAAGAGGTATACCGTCAGTGCCGCAGCGAGTACAATCAACCTAAGGGTACAAGGAGCGGGAGAGGACGAAGAGACGACTGTTTCCTTTGGCATGGAATCGCTTCCGAAGGTGGTTGAGCTCCGCAAAGCTCTAGTATCTCGCTTAGTGCGTCTCCAAAGCATGCAGAAACAACAACAAACAGCACCTAGTCAGACTGATGTTGCATCCGAGGATCAGGCCAGTCAAGAGAAGGATGATGCGGCTACCACCGCTACTTCTACTGGGGGTAGCGAGAGCAGTGTGGAAGTTCTGTACGATGCTTCTGTCACTCCACCGTACAACAACTCTCCACAATCCATTATCAACTGTCGACCTTCCATCCAAATGAACGGCAGCACCATGCTTTCCGCAATCTCCATCAACTCCAACACATCCATTCCAGAAGAAGAAGAAGAACGATCTATCCTGAACCAGCAGGAAGAGGATAAGAAAACCCAGGAAGCCAAGTCATCTACCCACTCATCATCTACTGGTCAGACCAGTGAATCCAGCGGTAATGATGATGAGAATGAGCAGCAAGCAATCTACCAGAGACCAGGAACAATCAAGGAACTATCTCCACGAACTAGCAAGAAACGTATCAGTACACGTCCTGCAAGTACCAACAGAGGCAGTGTCATGCACGGCAGGCCATCGGTTGCTGCCAGCTTTCAACAACGCCGAGGAACAGTATTCGATCAAGAAGCTACCTCGGGCGAACTCCATGACGACGACATGGTAGCACGAGAGGTATTACAGATGGCCCATCCTAGCTCCCAACAGCAGCAGCAACAACAACCGTCTTCAGACACCAACGACACTGCTGGCATGACTATAGAAGAGGAAAAGGAACGAACACGTAGCAACTTGCCAGTGAAGAAGAAGACGAATGAGAGCACTGCATCCGAAGAACTGGAACGGGACGACATGATAGCACGAGAGATTCTGCAGATTACTAGGACTCATCACCAGCAACAGGAGCTGTCGAACGATACAACCGGCATGACCATGGAAGAGATCAAGGAAAAGGAACGAACACGTAGCAACATGCCTGCGGTGCCAGTTCCGGTACTGCAACAAGCCGACGCAGACATGAAGCGAGCTGCTGTTGATGGACTCATTGCCGACAACAACAGCACCACCAGAACGGGCAGCAGCAGTAGTCTTTCCGATGCACAACCACAACGAGGGCCCGGTGCCTACAATCGAGCTCCTGGACAGTGTTCTTGTCGCAATATACCCGTCAGTTTTCGGTGTGTCGGAACCACGGGAAAAGGAGACTATCAAAAGTCTTCCGAGCCGGATTTGGAGGATACCATCGGGGAGGAAGATTCCGGCATGAATGGATCCAGTAACCACACTAATGGCACCTCTCAATACCGGCGCGTCAGCTCCGCTCAGAGACGAAGCAGTTTCTTCGACGCCAGTTCCGGGACGGTAGTCGAAGCATGTCTCGTCGAAGACATTGCTCCCGTTCGATTTTCTGAAGTCATTCCTTCGTGCGTCGAAGTCAAGAACGAGGAGGATCTCATGGTGGTCGATAAGAAAACTACTGCCCTTGTCGGTGGGGCCTGCTGTTTCTTCTTGGTGGCCATACTCGTCACCGTCATCGTCCTGATCGCTACAACGACGGCATCAGGCAGTGGAAGCGACAGTGCCACAACTGTGACGACAAGTGAAGCTCGAGTATCCCTCGTGACGGATCTTACAGTACCACTCGTGGCCGATCCTACGGAATGGGATGTTCCTTTGAGTCCTGCCTCGCGTGCCCTTGATTGGATGATTGGAGAGGATCCACTCCGTGAAACAGCAACATTGCAAGACCCCGACAAGATTCGACAACGTTTTGTACTGGTCCTGTTTTACCATCGCACCACGCAACAACAAAGTGGCTGGAAAAGATGCAATCCACCAGAGACGGGAGAAGGCCGTGCGTGCCGACACGTCCTTTTGGAATCCTATAGTTTCCAAGGAGAATACTTCGATCAGCACATGTCCGAACCCTCCTTTCGATGGATGACCGACACGGATGAATGTCGATGGGCGGGTGTTCGGTGTTCCGATGGGGTTCATGTGTCGCACCTGCAACTCGGTACGAAAGTGAAATCAGTCCTTTATGGAGTGCGTCGCCGGTTTCTCTTTTTCTCTAACCACCGGTCGTATTGTTTGCTTTCTTGTTGGCCCAGGCGATTACGGACTGGCAGGATCGTTACCAATCGAGTTGAGCCATTTGTATCAATTGGAGGAGTTGGATCTGCAACAGAATAGTCTGGACGGAACACTGCCGGCAGAATACAAGTTTGGCGCCACTGCGGATTTCCCATCCAAACTGAAGGTCTTGCGATTGGACCGCAACAAATTTTCCGGAGAGATTCCAGAGGAATGGTGTCATCGTCATCCAGGAGAGGCAACGGCATCCACCACAGAATTTGCCATTGAGACTTGGAGTCTGGCGTCAAATCAGCTGGTGGGTTCGCTTCCATCTTGTTTGGAAAATCTGCAACAACTCAAGGACTTCAACGCCGCACACAATAGGTTGACCGGAACAATACCCCCAGTGGGCGGCTCCAAACTGGAACAGTTGCACCTGACTTTCAATTCCTTGAGCGGCAGCATCCCCAATTCCTTTTGTGATGGTACGGCAACATCACCACCATTGAGCGAGCTCTCCGTGGACTGCCTTGATGGCACCAGCAGTGTCTTTGTGGAATGTCCATGCTGTACCAAGTGCTGTGATCCACAGGAGGATGTCTGTGAGGTCTACCCCAACGATGAACCATAGATGCACGTGCATGTCATGGCGCCGTAGAGCTAAAGATTTATTGAAGAAGCGACATGTCCGCGAACGCCCCATCTAAGAAGGACGAGACCATAGCACACGCACCAGTTCTTTTTGTTTCCATTTATCTGTTCTTATTCATAACTTGTCTACGATGTAATTGCTTTCTTGCCAATTCTAAATGGCGAATTTGGTTGATGACGCGATGAGATGTACATGAGTCACCTCGTCCGGGCTGCTGCTCTTGCTTCCTTGCTACATTTATGGTAGCTTGTTCTTTCACGAATAGACTTTGTCAATAGATGGGTTTGTATTTAGAAAGCAAGAAGAACGATACGCTGAGTCGAGTCGAGTCAGTCAAGCAAGAAGCAAGCAACAAGCCAATTATTGATGAGGGTGGCTCTGTTTTTGTGCTGATCGCTGTTGACAGCACAGATCAAGGTGGACAACAACCGTAAATGCTGGCTGGGAGGATGTTGGAGCAACACTTGGAATGCACAAAGAATAGCTATCTAGCTACATGTACAAAGTAACCTCAACATGCTGTCGTGCATCAATGCAATAGCAAAATACAAATCTATTTTTAAAATTAATGCATGCTCATATCTTACATCTATTGTACAGAGAGGCAGAACCATCGACTATGGTTGACGTGAGAAAACAAATGACAAGGTGAGACAAACATGAAGGCCATAGCAGTAAGAAGACATGCATTTGAATTTGAAACGTACATTCGACCATCAAAACATCCGGGAGCTCCTTGTCAGTGGCCGTTGGCGTGGTTGCCTCGCTAAACTCCCCATCGTTCTGGGGGCTGGTGAGGGACCATGGCGTGATAGGGGTGTTGCCAGGCTGCCGATGGTACTAGAGGTCCATATGCTTCCCATCGTTCGTAAAAGCGGGAACAAAAGACGTTTCCTCCTCATTCTGATCAGAATCGTCCACTCCAGCCACCGTGGACGAGTGTGTGTTGTCGTTTGTTGTTTGAGAAAAGGGCGTGCCACCACCGGTCCGTGATGAAGGAGGTCGACCTGCTGTAACCAGGAGAAGAGAAGTCAGGCATACATGAATCGGGAGGCGTGACGAAAACAAGAACCATGACACTGCCATCCACTTACCGGTTTGGACTCCTTCTTCCTTTGCCTTTTCTTCTTGCTCTTCCTTTTCCTCTTCCTGTTCTTCTGCTTGTTCTTCCGTCTCTTCCGTCTCTTTTTGTTCCTTTTCGTCTGCATGATGGTAAGTGGGACAAGTGAAGATTCATTGGCATGATTCGGAGTGTCAAGGCGTATCATCTGTAAGGAATCTGTGTGGCTGCCCTGTGTACGAAGATACTCCCGGAATAGCTGATGTGGATCCCATGCATTGTGAGTGCTCCCTGGTCCAGGATTTAGATATACATATTCATGGCGGGGCTGTGTTCTGTGGGTGTACGTGCTGAGTGTTCGCTCCTGTTCGGCACGAGATGACCAGGTCCTACACAAAAAGTACGTCAACAGCCTGAAATCAATCCTTTCATCGTCCCGGCGTCGCCGTCTTCTGGTGTGCTCGTCCGACATGTCAACAGGTGCGGTACCGGTAGTTAGTCTAGTCTCTCCATTGTACTTGGCTTGGCTTGGCTTGTCTGCTGTGAATTGTGATTGCTGAAGGTGGCTTCGTGGCTTCTCCCAAACTGTGGATGGATCTTGCTTGGATCTTCGTCCTTGGAAGCTTCCTTCGTCTTCGCTTTCTTTCGCCTGAATTATTCGAATGATGATCGATTGAGAATCGAACGCAGGTTCGATACCACCTCTTACCTCCAAAAGACCAACCGTGACAGTTGCACAAAACTCACTACCAGTACAGTACGGTGCAAAAGTAGCAGCCATTGATAGCTTCCATTGCATAGCACATCCCGCGTACGGCGTAGTATTTTGCAAGGCCAGAAGCGTGGCACTCAATTGGAAGTACAGTTTCCTCATATCAGTAGCTGGCAACCAGGACTTCGGTATGTAGTACAGTACCGTGGAAAAGAGCGAGGAGACTAGATCGCACAAAGCAGTTCATTTGTTGGTTAACAACAGTTTTCTTTATGTCTATAGCTGCTTATTTTGTGTATCCCAAATGGCCCGATTTGTTTCAATTGCTTCTGCAAAGCCGAACCGAGCCGTGAAGTAAGTTTGGACTCGAAGGCTGGTGCAACACTTGGACGCGAGACTGTCTAAGATCCAATCAGAACCATGAACTTGGACGTTGGACGGCCATCTAGCTAGTTGTCCCGGGCCCTACCGGGCCATAAAGACGGAAGACACACGTGAACTCGTCCGTGGCATTTTCCAAAAGACTTCCAGTTGTTGGTCAATCCCAGCCTTGAGAGCCCCGATTTCTGCTGAGCCAGACGCCGACGATCCACCAGTCCCAGCAATCGACCCATCTTGGCATTTGGTAGGCGTTGTTTATGGTGATGTCGGGACAGCGCAAGCAATGCTCGATTTGCCGAGCTGGAAACAGATCACCCCCGCAGCCGGGCACACGACGCGACAAGAAGTTTCACTCAACCGTGACTCGACTCGACTCACCCGGCGTCCTCGGAAGGTTGAGTCAACCAGTCGTTTGTGAATTATATCTTTGAGTCGTTGCTATGGCTTCTCCGCGATCCATCTGGACAACACGTCAGTGGGAGCACATTCGTGAGGTCACCTCACGATTTAAAAACATAGAAGGGGGTCTGGGGGTGGCTCGTGCAATTTACTTTGGCTCTTTTGAATAGGGGCAAAGAGTACAAAAGCTGATTCTGCAATTAAGAGGCCTTCTTGAAGTGCTTTTGGTGTGTTAAAGCATGCACTAGTAATTAATAAGGATTGGTTCAAAGGAAATCCTTTCGCGTACTTTAAACCATCACTTCTGGTTATGGTTTGAAGTGTACCAAGAGGGCTAGATGATTTAACACCAGATTCATAAAAAGCTAGAATGCCCTCCAGAGGATTACGGTGGAATCTACGATTATTTGGCAAGCTGGTTGTGCATGTACAGTTGTAGAGGATGTGGTAGAACATACCAATCAACCAATCAACTGCTCCAAGCTGAGAGCTTGGACAACCGCTTCAGGCTGGGACAACAGCTACAAGCTACAGCTACAGGCGTAGACAACAGCTACAGCTACAGGCTGGGATAACCGCTTCAGGCTGGGACAACCTTCAGGCTGGCACACACAGGCTACGACAACAGCTATAAGTTGGAACAACAGCTATAGCTCCAGCTGGGATAACACTCAGCTGGGACAACCACTACAGGCTGGGACAACCACTACATGCTGGTAGGACAACAGCTACAAGCTGGAGAGCTTAACATGATTTTGAATTCTTACAGTCTCGCAAGGCGTGCTTATGGGTAGTATTTACCACAATTTCAAAGTTGCGGGATTACTACGAATCTCCAGGCTGGGATAACCACTTCAGGCTGGGACAACCACTACAGGCTGGGACAACAGCTCCAGGCTGGGGCACAAGCTGGGACAACAGCACAGCTCCATGCTGGGATAACAGCTACAGGCTGGGACAACAGCTATAGGCTGGGACGACAGCTCCCACCTGTCACCCTATGCGTACCACCCCAGAGAGGTGCTGGCCCTCATTTTTTGCCAAGTTGAATTTCCTGTTGCTCATAGAGAGTTAAAATATCCAGTACATTCTCGAATAAAGCAGTAGGCATTGTGACAAATAACTGGCTTCCAGTCGATTCTTGATCAAAGGATTTTATAATTCCATCAGGCATTTGCTGTATCTCTCTGCGTATGAAGCCATTTGTTGGAAGCACCATTGGTACGATTCCCAGCTCTTTCGTCATGATCACGGAGCATGACAGGCGGTACTTCATTCCTTGGTGCTTTTTCATGCTGAGACGGTGGAGACGCTTGTGCTTCGTGGATGCCATTATTCGTCTCTTCTTGTACTAAATTCACTGGTATTGGCTCATATGGGCTCGTTGGGTCGGCTGTTGGCTGACCAATTTAGGGCTGGCACTCTTCGTAGCCTTGTTCTTTGTCAGCTTCAGGCTGGGACAACAGCTTCAGGCTGGGACCATAGCTTCAGGCTGGGACAACAGCTTCAGCCGATTCTTCACCGCATGATCAATTCCATCAGGCAATTCCTATATGTAGCCCTTATCTGAGCTTATTGTTGTCGTCCATGCATCCCTCCCTTTTCATCAGCCACAGCGGCTTCTTGTTGGCATAGACTATAGTCTCAGTTCCAACCACTTTGACTTCGTTTTCACCGATTCTGACCGAGTAAGAGCAGGATCAACAGTGTCATCAAAGTTAAGCGCAGATCCCAAGTTTACACGTACCGTCGCTAATGGAGGGAAGCATCCCAACAGCAAACTTGGTCATCATCATTGGCTCGCTATTTATTAGTAAGTTTACCTGTAAACTGGACAATTGAATCGCTGAATCTTCCAAAATGATCTCATTGTCGTGAAAAAGAGATCAATAATATAGGTGTTGGGTTGTCATTGCTTGCTGTAATGGTGATGCGCATGGGCCCACCTTTCCTCAGTCGCCATGCCAAGGAAATCTGCCACATATTCCTTTTCGGAGCAACTGCGGCCTGTCAATTGGAAATGGCAATGAAGGAAGAAATGATCTGTAAGAGAAAGCTTGTGGAAGATGTCACCAAGACAGTTTACACTCACTTCTACGAAAGCAACAACAGGAAGAGAAAGGCCGCTTATGAACAGGAAGCTTCTCTCCGTGCTCCAGGAAAAAAAAGAAGGCCAACTCGGCACAACCATCAGCGGGCAAGAGAGTGTGTGCAGGAAGATTGGTTGGGTTCTGATGCCATATTCCTGGACAGACAATTCGAGATGACGTTCAGGCAGCCCAAGAGTCACGTAGAAAGGCTCATTCAAGCTTGCGTTCGATACGAACCAAAGTACTTTTCCTCACTATCAGTACGGCGAGATGCCTCTGGAAAGCCCGGGATATCAGTAGAAGTGAAGGTACTTGGCATTCTGAAGTGTGTTGCATTCTGAAGTGTGTTGGGTTTGGATGTTCAGGGAGGGCTTTCTGTGATTATCACCAGATGGGAGTCAACACCTTTACAGAGAACCTCAAGGCCTTCTTTCGTGCACTCAGAGCTGACACAGAACTGCAAGCCATGTACATGCGTGCTCCAACAAAGGCTGACGCCAAAAGAATCTCGGCTTTGCACCAAAGGAAACATGGAGTGCCTGGGATGTTGTGCAGTATCGACTGTCTGCATGTATTCTGGAAGAATTGCCCTGTTGCGTGGCAGGGTCAATTTCGAAATGGGAAGCAAGAACAAGCAGTCGTCCATTGTTGTTGAGGCTGCTGTTGACTACAACACTTTCGTTTGGTCTTGTTCTGAGCATGAAATCAGTGCTCATCAGTGGCTCAGTCTCAGGAAACCACAAGCAAGTCGCCCACTGGTTCATGGTCAACGAAAAGAACCCTTACATGATCGAATGTGCCACATCGTGGAATTCAGCGCAACGCTGAGGACGAAATTTGCACATTGAATACGCGAGAACAGATTGCCAAATGACGATTTGTCTATCGCAAGGTCAAGGAAGTCTGCATGGAAAATGCAGCACCCATAGTAGTAGAAGAACAACCAACAACAACAACTAAAGACATTGAGGCAATAGAAAAAGTCCCAAATGTCGACCACAACAAGATGGCATACGATGCCACAATCACATGCGAAGCAGCAGTGGTTCCCACATGCACAGCAGTGGTGCCATAGCAAAAGTGGCATGTGAAACACGTCAAGATCAGTGTGCATGGACAACAGCCATTTGTATTGGAGATGTGAATGATGAATGGTGTGCTACTTGGAGTGGTACTCAATGACATTCTTGCAGCATTGATGAAGGATGGTGGAGACCTTGTCAAGGAATTCATATGGCGGCACAAGACACTACGATTGGAAGCACGCGTTGCCTCGGATGATACGGATTATGAATTCCTGACTGGCGAAGTGGTAGCTGAAGAGGAAGAACAACAAGTTGATGCTGATGAACCACTGGCCGACAACCGAGTCGACGAGGAGGACAATGTGGACACAGCACAATCAACTTTTCGACGATCGAAGAGACGCATGGCGGCGATTGCATCTCAGAGAATCGCAGAACAAATCAAGACAAAGCCACGGCAGGTGCAGAACAACAACCTAGAATTAAGAAACATAGATGCACGGCGGCGGCCAAGAAAAAGTTGACAAAGCCAAAGGCGAAGGGCAAGAATAAGACGACGATACAACCTGTGACAGACACACAGCAGCAAACAACAGTTCAGACAACAATAACTCTTTCAGAAAGCCTGACCGGTACATTCCAGTCTGGGACAACAGGTGAGTAAGTGGGCGACCATGACAGATTGTGGGAACTAACACAATACAATACACAACAAGCAAGCATCTGGTGGGGTGCAGGGCTATACAACAATTTTGCGGAAACGAATACAGTCGGTTCAATTGAAGGGTCACATCCAAGGTAGCCAGGTTTGTGGTTCCTGTGCTAGCTAGGCAGCCTCTATTGCAGAGTGCTTGTCCGAACGTCCTCCACACGATGAAAGTCCAAAGTTAATACCAGTGACACCCGACAACCAACCTCTATCATTGTTGATGCTACAATCTTTTAAAATACAACCAAACACGAACCTAGAACAATAACCCATAGTAGACAATCTTCACAAACAAAAATCATGGCTTCGTTCTTTATAGTATACATAGTTGTAGTAGTGTTGTAGTGGCACCAGCTAGAGTGGCAGTTCATATTGATAGTAACAACCGTTGCAAGCCTTGGATCCTTGGATCCTTGGATCCCTCAAGATTGGGATCATCCAGAAACCAATGGAAGTAAAACTTGTAGGTCGGTTCGGTCATTTCGGAATAATATGTATTGGTTGGTCGGCTTATGACCGAACCTCATTTCACCTCGAAAGGGTTCCAGAAATGGATTGAGGTCCGGAAATATGTGATGTTTGGTTCTCTAAGTATCATAATTGTGCTTGAAGTTCGACTTTTTTGGTCTAAGTAAACCGATTTGGTTTGGGACCCTCATCGTGAGGCTCCCTGTGAGGTGAAAATGAGGTTATTATGCTCACATTTTCCGAACTTGTAAACTGGATGATTTTCGTACTATTGCCCTATGACCGGACCGACCTACAAGTTTTACCTCCATTGGTTTCTGGATGGTCCCATTGTCCCGGTTGTGTCTAAGTCGACTTTGCATCTCCTACATTCCTCCGCGATCCTACCGTGGTATGAAAATTTTCATTCAGTATAGAGAGAAGAAAACCTGCCCCGCAGGGGCTGGATAGTTAGAAGAAAGAGAAGAGGAGGAGGAGGGAGGAGGGGGTTCTTAGCTAATGTTAGATGCATTACCCTTCTGGCTTATTGATATTCCATGAGCTCTGCTTTCCAGAAGGAAAGAAGGGTGCTACGAAGAGTGCGAGAGCTTCAGCCATCACCTCAAACTCTCTTGCTGCCAGCGTCTCATTGTTGTGTGCCCATTTCACATTCATTCGCCCAAGTATCGTTTGTTGACCAGCAACCAGCTTCTTCGCCCTTCATAGCTCTGATTGTTGGATCCACAGCATGATGTATTGCATCATAATGAGGGTGATTTGTCAATTTTCACAGCCTTCCATCAAAAGGTACGGTACCGTACCGACAGATTTGTATTAAGATAAACCTCGATAATCTCATGTGAACGAATGCAGACAACCTCCGCTGAAACTCTTCGTGGTAGCTCCTTCATTAGCGGCATCGTATGTTGCAACTCGGAAATTCAACCCATCGCTGCTCATTCTCGATATTCGGCGGCTCGATGCGTAGGTCATTTTCTTCTTATAGTCCTCGGATAAGGATGTAGTAGAAAACCACTGGCGTATGTACATATGTAGTAGAAAACCACTGGCGTGTGTACATTGGCAATTCTTGAAGCTGATGAGCGGTTCTTCTTCTTTTCGTCGTCATCTCGATTCCAGCAGCTACTGTGATACCAACGAGACAACTGAATGCTGCTCACTCACTGAAGAGTTATACTTTGTTGTTTGTGGTTCTCTTTGTCTACCGGCTACGGGGCGGAAAGGTATCTGCTGTGCTGCAAGGTGGGTTGTGTTTGTTGTGTTGCAAAAATTGTTGGTTGTTGTTGGTTTTGTGTTTCTGAACGGGGCGTGGAGTTGGCAGCTTGTACGTGGTAGGTGGCAAATGAGAAACTTCCACGTGGAAGCTTAACTCCAAATAGGAAACGTCCGAGACACGTCTCTTCTACCTGTCTCTGACTACTGAGACAGGCTGTCTCTGCGTCTCGGAGACGTAGAATCAATACCAGGGGTACTTACTATACGGGTTGAAAATTCCGTGGTATGTGGTATGGGATACGGAGCATGACGCCAAATCCTACCCTCTGCTTGAGACAAGAAGAGCGCAACAACGAGGAACTGAACGTCTATCGACATTCCGACTCCTGCCTCGTACCATTTGTTTCAGCTCGGGTACGGTGGTAGTGCTGGAAGATCTGAAACGAACCAAATTTGAATGTTCGTTGTCACATTCGAACAAACGCACGCCATTCAAGACGCCCATGTCGACATCGCAAATCTTTTGCAATGCGTTCTTGAAGGACGCCTTGGCTTCAAAACTGCCAAAGATCATGAGCCGTTCAAACACGTCATACCAGTTCTTTGGCGAAGGAACGATAAGAGGGTTCTTGGTCGATTTGAGGATGCGAGGTGCGAGGCACGAGATGCAAGCGGCTTGTCAGGAGTGAATCGCAGAGGAGTTTCCAGTCCGCACTTGTTGCGGTAAAGTTTTCTGGAATCTGGTTGTTGTTCGATTCATCCTGTCCAACTTGCTCTAACTGTACGGCTTCCTTCGTGTCGGCGTCGTTTGGTTTGAACCGCTTGTGGTACCGGTAGTATGTCGAGTAGTGGGCTCTACCCAACCCGTAGGAACTGCAGTCTTTGATGAACTCAGAAATCGACTGGCAAAGCTCCAACGAGTGAAAATTTCCACGACGTGTCCGCGTGGAAGCGTCCCCACACACGGCAGAACACAAGCATCCGCTGCCGTAACCGATGGAACGGGTGTCTAGCAAGTGCGAGGGCCTAGCTAGAGCAAGCAAACTAGCTACCTGGTAGCTAGTTTCCTGCTCTGTTTGTGGAGCCTTAAACGATTGTAGTTGTTCTAGCTGTTAACCAGATGCTTAGATCTTCTAGACTAGTAGATGGGTGGGGATTCTTGCCCACCAACGCAAGGAGGGGAATCAAATGGAGGGGTGGATCAAGGATTCAGCTCTGGTTGGAGCACTGCGTTCCACCTGCCCGCTCACAGTTCGCCTAACAAAGGATCCCAACCCCAGGGCAGGCCAGAGGCTGATCAGGGGCACTAGTCTACACTGTACTACCGGTGGTTGAAAATCAGGCTATCGCAGATACGGTACCCGAATAATTTGAAGTGGACCGGAGGACCACCATCACATCACATTTCTCAAAATGGGACACCGAAGCAACGCTACGGTATGGGTAGAGGGAATCGCTACACCATTCCATGCAGACAGTACTGCACACGTCGCCGCTCTTGAGCTAGACGAAATGGGGAGCTTTGCCCAAACGTTGCTAGCTCACTCAAAGACAGAAAACATGCGTCCTTGGCGCAAGGGCGAAGATGCAACTACAGGTTCCAGTAGCTGGCTAGAAGAGAGGGAGGGTACTACGGTAGCACACACACGACAGTTATTTGGTTCTCCCTGCTGCTTTCTTGCAATATTTCTAACCAACTAACTAAGTAGCTATTCTCTTTCCCTTTTTGGTGTCCCTGGTTTCATGTTCGACTTGTTTCAAAGTGGAGAGTGACGTGAAGAAAGTTTGGACTCACCGTGGGTGTAGTGATGGGAAGATCGTAAGATGGGAAGATGGGAAGAGCAGTGCAACCGAGCCAGTCAATGTCTTTCTTGGGATGAGTGAACCGATGCCGGATGTTCGAGGACCGTCTAGTTTTTGTTTCCTGCAATCGCGGCCATGAGGTCTTTGAAAAACTTCTAATGTTTGCCATACTCGCGAGTCTCCCGAGTCTTGAATTCTTCGAAGCGAGTATCGACCTTTTGGACCAAGTCCTGGATTTCGCTGCCAAGTCCGGAAACAGTAGCTATGAGATCTTTGTAATACTTCTCATGCTCACCATACTCGCGAGTCTCCCGAGTCTTGACATTTCGGCCCAACTCTTGGATTTCGCTGCCAATCTCTTCCAGTTTTTTCATCAATGCCGAGATCTCGCTGCCAGCCATGGTACCCGATCCAGTCCCAGACACCGCCGGGGCAGCATTGGTGATATTTGCACCACCAGCAACTATGGTAAAATGCTGCAACCCTGCTGGAAGCTGCAGCCGCCCAAGGTCCAAGGGCCCCACTGTTGCTTGTTGGTGAGGGACCATGTAGCCCCCAGATGCTGGTGGTGGTGATGGTTGGCGAGGAATCATGGAGCCGCCATGACAGTCGGCACAAGTATCGTCCGTCTTGCTGCCCTCATTGCCCAGCATTGCCAACATGGCCAGAATAGTATCCATCTTTTCCTCCAACGTTTGGGTGGAAGGGACCTCTCCTTGCTCCACCTGACGGGTGGCTTCGTTCGAACCTCCAACTTGCTCCATGGTTTCGTCCTACGCTACAGTTCGATCAATCTCCGACAAAAGGGAAGGCTTCAGCGGCAACAACTCTGAGAAAATTGAAGAAATGCAACGACGCCTCGAGAAGAAAGAAAAAGTGGACGGCAAAAGCGCGCAAAAGATGTGGCATGCGCAACCTCCTCTAAGTGACATCGGAAGAAGAAAATTCAAACGACTCCCGAGTAACAGGTGACTGAATGGCTCGAATCAGAAAAAGTCCATTTTTGATGCCAACCTCCCTTTTTAAAAACTCTACTTAGACTTTTTCTAAACGGCGTGGCTTGGACTACTAGTACGTTTCCAGACAAGGGTCACTGTTTGTGGGTCCCTTGCCATCAATCCACAAGGACGATACGAAAATATAATCCTACTACGGGCAGCTATCTATCATTGCCGTATAGTTGCTACAGGCTGAATCTAAGCTATCGAGACAAACGCAAGCCCGCTCCCGGTACGACACTCGAATGCGAACCGGAACCTCTTGGAACGTTCCGCGAAAAGACTTAAGGGACTTATATAGCCTTAACCTTAATCTCAACTGACATCACTCGGATCGATCGATCGATCCAAGCCACTCATACATTTTTCATTATTTCGATACCTTTACTCTATTGACTCTATCAAGATGATGCTTCTCCTCTACAGCGGCTACTCCTCTCAACAAAGGCTACTACTCACCACCGTGACAGGCTCCTCTTGGTTGGCTAGAGTGGAACGCGCAAGTGTTCGATCGTTTGGTCGTTCGATCGATCGGCCGACGGATTCGGTTGATGACTTCTTCTTCTTGCTTCCACGGAGCGACCATGACACCGGAGCGAGCGAACGGAGCGACCATGACGCCTCTACCGCAACAACAAGCGGCTATAGTTAATGCAACAACAAGCGACGCCGTTCGACGGACGATGACTGTTTCCGTTCGACGGATCGATCGGCCGATGACTGATGACTGGCTCTTCCACCGAGCTTCCGTTTGACGCGATGACTGGCTGCTTTCACGGAGCGAACGAACGACGCGACAAGAAGACTGCCATATTGACTGGCTACTACTATGTATTATCTATTCTTCTCCTTCTTCATCCCATTCAAAGAAAGGAGTGTTATCTTCTGTGTCACCAGACTCCACATCCACAACTTCTCCCTCTTCCACAACAAACCTTTTGGCCAGACAGATCTCCAACTCATTTTCAATGGAGCCCACGCCGGTGTCCAAGTTGGATCTGTGCACAAGCTTCTCCTTGAGGATGTAAACCATGTCCACTTCTTCCTTCCTGGATCTTTCCAAGCGCTCCTCATTGGTTGGTTTGTGGCGTGCCTCTGCTTTCTTGATCCGATCACAGGCCAAAATGTAGGCTTCAACGACGGTATCCTCCGCAGTTGTTTTGAAGTTGCGACGAGTGACACTGGGACCAATCTGTGGCTTCTTTCTGTGGGTGCGCTTGTTGATATTCAAGCCGTGCTCTTTGATCTGATCTTCGGTGGGCTTGTAATACTCCTTGGCGTATTTGTCGAGCTGATCTTTGAAGGACATTGTGCTTCCTTCTTCCGGCACATGCATGACTTCGTTGGCAAGCGACTCATATCCAAGCATGTACTTCCGGCACTTGCGGCGGAACCGCATGGTTCTTGCCGCATCATTCATTCGGAGAGCTTCGTTGGCAACTGCGATGAAACTCTTGAAGTTGATCCGACGGTCCATTGGCATGCGTCGAATGTATCTTTTCGAGAAGCCCCAAGTGTCTTCGACTCCTTCGCCGGCAATGTTTGGATGGTACTTTGGCGTGAAGACGACGGTGACCTTGCAGATTGCGTCTGAGAGCTTTTGCGCAAGGAACTCTAGATCGGTCATTTCGCTGGCAAAATCAGGACGATTCGCCATGAGCCGTGACAAGATCCACCGTTCATGTCCTTCCTTGATGTTGCCGTCTTCATCCAAGTCAGCTTTTGCGGCATCCTTGTGGTACTTGCTGTCGGCGTAGTCCTGTTCATTGATCCATCCCGTTTCCCAGAGGACCTGACTGAGCCCCTTCGCCCGACCAACCCAACCGAGCGACTTGATGCGGAGCTGATCCTTGAAAATATCAAGTCCCGCCTCCTGCATGCGCTCCTGCAAAGCAGTCTTGGTGAGATGGCTTTGCGGCAATTCTTTACCGGCAGCTAGGTATTCTGCCTTCATTTCTTTGACGGTCTTCGGGACGCTCTTGGTGCTTTTGACGAGAGTGTTCAACGAAATGCCATCCTCTACCGCTTTCTCTTTGAGTTTCTTCAAGCAGCCCTTGCCCTTATCAAGCGTCTTGGGATCTACGTCGCGGTGAGCTGCGATTTCCTTACGGAGTTGTGCGGCGCTCTTTGGCTTGACTTCATCTTCGTAAAAGATATCAAACCGCTGGGCCAACCGTTCTTCGGGAGTGAGGTACCAAGGGCCGTCGTCTGGGTTCAACTTGGACTCGTCGGATTCCCACATGATCGACTGTTCGTCTCCCACTTGATAAAGCGACGGACCGAACGATCCAATGCATCCCACGCCAAGTGTGGTTTCCCGCATATGTGTCTTGCTCCCATGATCTTTAAGCATGCAGTTGACGTCCAAGCCTCCATCGATCTTCTTGGTGTGGCCGCTGCTTTGATCGAACAGGAAGACGAAATCATGTCCTGGGAACTTCACCTTGACACAGTCGACCATATCTTCGAATTGAATCTTCATTCGGTTGCCATTCCAGTAACCGTCATGTCCTTGGCCGATTTGGATACAACGCATGAATGGGGATTTGCACATTTCTTCCGCTGCCTCTTTGGTGATCGGCCGCTTGTGAGAGTCTCCCAGCTCAACATTGGCGGCATCTTCGGAGATATAGTGGGTCTCTTTGCGCCGTTCATTGATTTCTTCAAGAAACTCGGATATATCTGGATCCATTCCGAAAGCATCCGAGACGAAGGCACTCACATGAAGACCTTGGCCGTCGTTCTTCTTACGGAGAATTTGCTCACCGTCAACGCTCCAAGCTTTCTTCGAAACGATGAACTGCATGAATACAGACTCGTCTTGTCCAATGATGATGACTGGACGCTGAGTGGAGTCAAAGTCACGCTTGAGTCCTCCACCAAACTTGCGCTGCTCCTCAGGTACGAATTGAAGGAGTTTTTCATGATTGGCGTCAATGTGGTATTCCCGCATCTCAACTTCTTCGTCTTCTTCTCCAATCTCGTATGTCTCGTAGTGACAGCTTGTTCAACGCATCTTTCCCAAGACCACCCGTACCAGGGAATTCTGTCGAGAGCCACTTCGTATGATCGACAGACGAAGATTGCCTTGTTCGTGATGGATTGTCTTGCACTGACCGAGAGTTCTTCGAAATCCTGGTCCGTGCCTACGAGGATTGACGGCATCTCTCTCCAATCGTCAAGGGCGGATCAAAGCTTCGCGACGCGCTCTTCCAAGCAATCTTTGACGGTTTGTTTCGGCGAAGGTTTGAAGACAAGACGAAACCTTTCGTACTCGAGCCTTGTCGGATCAAACTTCGGAGTATCTGGCTGGGGCTTGCGTGAGGCACTGGAGGTAACCACGCTGCGGCAGAATGAAGCATCCTCAAGAAACGAGTCGTCATCTTTGGCCGCTGACGGACCAGAAATTGTTTTGGGTACGGAGTCATCATCTTTGGGCACAGAGCCGTCATCTATGACGATTGATTCGTCATTCTGGAGCTGGGAGACGTCATCGTCGAGCTGGGAGACGGTATCTTCAAGCTGGGAGACGTTATCTTTGGTAGGAGAGTCGTCAGCGCCGAGCTCGTCCTTTTCTAAATCAACGTGTCAAACCAACGCTCTTAGATACTCCCGCGATGAACGGCGACGGCGAACCGCAGCACGGGGACTACGGCGAACCGCAGTACCACCGTTTACGGCTGTGGGCTCAAATGGAACGGGATTTGGTTTTGGCTTCGGGCTACCGGGACGATGGCTGTCGGTACGAGTACGAGGATGGTGCGCTAGCGGTGTCTCTTCCTTGTTCTGCCTTTTCGATTGTCGTTGCGGAGTCTGTGCCGTCTCTGATTGCTGCCTCTTGCGGTGGTCGTCGTCGTCGTTTGGATGCGGTAAGTCTTTGTTCGACTCGACTACAACGGTTGTTCCCTCTAAATTCCCCGTGCTAACAGTTGTGGTGTTATTGTTAGGCTTTTCTTTTTGGTTGTTGAGAGTTTCCCTTGGCTGCCTCCTCAACTCTAGAGCCAGTTTCTCATCCATCTCTCCAAGGCTGTCAGCTCTGTTTCTTGTTGATATTGATCTCTCTCCATAGGATTTCATTGCTTTGAAGTCAGCATGAGAGCCAGCTTCAATTTCATGTGATCTGAAGAGTAAGTCCTGCCATGTTTGTTTGTCTTGTGGAAGTGATGGAGTCTTCTTGTACTTGATGGATCTGGAAAGGAACACTAACCATCTCTTCTTCTTTGTTGACAGAAATCCTTCACTGATGGTGTACTGCTTCTGTGTGGAGGTCTTGTGGAAGTACAGAGGTTTGTTCTTTTTGTTGCTGCTGATTTGGAATTTGCCAGTTTGATACTCCTCCACTGCCTTTGACAGTTGCCCTGTGGCCACATCCTCTGACTGCACATCATATCTTCTACACATGACTGCTTTGAGGGCGCCAATGGTCAACCAACAGTCCTTGAAGGGAGAGACATTGTCTTCCTTCTTGGCATCAAGGAGATCAACCACCAATCCAGCCAGGAATTCTCTGCTGAGCTCCATGACAAACGTTGGAGATAGCAAATCCTTTTTGAGGGGTGGCTCTGTGAGTGTGTTGGGGAGCTAGTTCTAGAAAAGGATTTGCTATCTCAATGTATTGGTAGAGCTAGAGACCATTTGGCCAACACTGTTGCCATGGTGGTAAAATTTAATCTTCCTTGTTCTTTTCTTGATTCTTTGTTCTGCGTGGCAACCAGTCATTTTCGCGGCAACCAGTCATTTTCGCGCGAAGATTCGCGAAACGACCACTTCCGGGTTCCCATTTCCGAAAACTGAAAAATAACCGTCAAAAACGCTCACATTTTGACACCTGTCAGCGGTAAAAGAACTCATCCTGTACAAACTGCCTTTGGGCAGGGCTATCGTCTTTCCAGAATTTCAAATAATGAGACCACACTGTGTCGTTGGTGCTGTTTCCTTGCAATGGTTATTGCCTCGTTGCAACTCGACTTGCTGGTTGCCTGAGCTGCCAAGCTGAGCTGCCAAGCTGAGCCAACCACCGAGGCCCTCAACGTGGTCGCGAAAATCGGGCCACTGCGTCATGATGTAGTTGAAGGTCGGGTGGAAAGATTTAAATCCGTCTGGGAGGCCCTCAAGACGGATGCTGGCACCCACGCCAGCTCCATCGCCCTGACACTGGACCGCGTGTGAGTTCCCGAAGAAGCTCATTTAGAACTCGTTGGTCTCCACGAATACTGTCCATCTTGCGGCCCCCATTGTCCAGCATTGCCAACAGGGTCTTCTACTGGTTGGCCAAAATGGTTTGATGCTTGGGCGCGCAATTGCATTAGCGGGCGCTGCTCGCCTCGCCCACTTCAATAGCTATGGTAGCAGTTGATTTTTCCCTACCATAATAAAACATGGAGATGTACAGCTAAGCGTAAGGAAGAACCGTGCCCTTGGGCTCTGCTTATGGTTGGATGGAGTAGATGTAACAGCCGCGACCAAATCCTACAAGTTGCTGGCTGGAGTAGAGGGAGGTTTACGGACTACAAAGCACATAGTCTTTCGTATTCCTTGACAAGTAGTACATTCTTAGTGTTTCTATGCATAATCTTTCTCTTTGAAATTGGACGGTGGAACTGACGTGAAGAACTTCGGACTCACGTCGGGCGCAATGATGGGAAGGGCAGTGCAATGTTGAGCCAGTCGAGGTTTTCGTTGGAATGAGTGAACCCATGCTGGATGTTCGACGACCGCCAGGTATTGGTTTTACTTCTCTTCTTGAGTCTCATAGTCGTCGAAGAGAGTGTCGACCTTGTCGACAATAGTGTTGAGCTTAGCGATGACCTTGGTCAAGTCTCCGATTTTCTTGCGCAATCCAGCCACAGCAGTATTTTTGAGGTTTTCAAGCCCTCCAACCTCGTCGGTAGCAAGCTCTCCAATTTCGTTGTCCAATGCGGTGAAAGCGCCCATGATGTCCTGGAAGCATCGTTCTCGGCGTTCACTCTCGCGGTTCTGAATGGCTTCCTTGCGCAGTGAGGCCAAGATTTTCTCGAGCTGCTGCTGGATGGTTCCATGAGTAGGGTCCAAGAATTGCTTGATCACATCGGGTGTACCGGTACCAAAGGCAAGGTCAAGTTTGGTGTGAATCTCTTTGAAAAGTGGGTCCAAGGATTGCTTGATCACATCGGGTGTACCGGTACCAAAGGCAAGGTCAAGTTTGGTGTGAATCTCTTTGAAAAGTTGCTCGAGCTGCTGCTTGATGAGAACGGTGAATGCAGCCGCTCGTTCGTCTTCCAAATCGCCGTCTTCGTCGCCCTGCTGGGAAAACAATGTTCCCGAATATTGGATTGTGGCCGATGGAACTTGAGCCCATACCATCGAGCCCCCACCTGAGGATGGCACTAGAACCCGAACCATCGAGCCCCCATCACGGTCTTGAATGCCCAGCATTGCCATCACAGCATCCATCTTTTGCTCCAAGGTTTGGGTGGAAGGGGCCTCATGGCCAGTAGGCGGTTGAACGTACTGCTGCGGATTGATTGTCGTGGAAGGACGAGACGGCGGCAAAGCAGTTGCCGTTGTCGGCGCGGGATGAGGACACGGAGATGGCTGCCAACCAGGGTGGGGGCATTGGCCGTTGGCTGGTGCCAGCGGATAGCCAAAGGGAATCGGTGCATGGCCATGCGGGATCCGGTTTGGAGCCGGAGGTTGAACATATGGGGCATTGCCGTTTTGCTGATGAGGAATGGCTCCGAGCATTGCAGCTGAGGTCGCACCCGGAGCTGGAGCTGCAACGGTTGGTGGACGCGCCGGAGGATTTTCGTTGCCGTCCACAACAGGCAGCAGTGTTGGATCCACAGAGTTGGTCATGATGATGTCAAGGACTTGGGCTACGGTACGGTAATTCAGAAAACAAGAGACAATACGGAGTGGAATGTCAACAGCAAGAAAAATGGCAACTGTTTGACGAGACGATCGACGACGAAGGTGCTTTGGATATTGTGTTCTCTCAAGAACAGTTTTCGGATGGGTTCGGCTTTCGAGTCCGCCAATCAAATTGCTTCGTGTCACGTCTCAAAGCGAAAACGGTTGGAAACAGACCAATGTCAACGGTTTCAACCTGAGCTCTAATGCGTGTTCGTTTCCACGACGTGGCCGCGTGGAAGCGTCCCCAATCACGGAATACCGTAGGAGTTTTGCAAAAATCGCATGAGCACGGCGATGCAGTCTCTTCTTATTGATGGTTGTTCCGAGTAAAGCTTTCCTGGTGGGGTTCTGTGTCAATGATCGTTTCAATCAAGAAGTAGCCTACACAGCTCCAGGAAACAAGGCCAACCAATGCTAGGGGGGGGGGCGAATGGTGCTACCGGCAGAAAATGGTGCTACCGGCAGAAAGGCCATTGCGGTTTCCAGACAAGCCTGGAACCAATCCACCAGGACGATACGAAATGATACTACTAGCTACTATCTGTTTGACGGTCAGCTATATCTTTATCATTACGGTATTGTTACTACAGAATTCCCAAAGGCAGGGCTATCGTTTTTCAAGAATTTCAAATAATGAAACCACATTGTGTTGTCAGTACTCCTGCTTCCTTGCAATAGTTTGTATTTTGTGGCTGATTGGATTTGTATTGTCATGTGTGGCCCTGCCAATGGCTCTCCCCCGGTCTCTCGATCTTGGGAATTGATTCCATTCAGTCCACGTGCGCAGCATCCTCCTGATCTTCAGAGACGCTTGGTGGAAGACGACGGTCCTCCCTTCTCAATGAGATTGAAGCTCCGCATTGTTTCCACTTGAGGCTACGAGTTGATCGTTCAAAAGCTGGTGTACCTGTGCTCGTTGAAAATCGGTTATTGCCTCGTTTCACGTCGACTTGCTGGTTGCCAAGCAGAGCCACATGTTTGTAGAACAACGAATAGTTGGGAATACGTAGCAGTAAAAGCAGGTGCAAAGTGCAATGAATTGTTGCAAACCTTCTGGCAACTGCAGCCCGCAAAGCTTACGGACTGCGCCGATGGGGCATGTTGGGGAACCACCGCTCCTGGTTGATTGTGAGGCGTCATAATATAATATCTTCAGCCGATACTATCCGTTGTGCATTGCTTGTTCTGCTGTTGGTTGTGATTGCTGGATGAGGCTTGTTGCAGTCAGCTGACGGGGGGTGAATCTTGGATAATGTAAATAATCCACCTACAAGTCTCTTTGTCTGACTGGACTGTATTCATGTTCTCTAACACTCTAATTCCCCTTTTTTGAAGATGGATCTCGGATAGAGCCTGTCCATGCCTAATAAAACCACAAAGAAATCCTTGTGGGTGATGGAAATGGACCCTTCCTTCCCAGTTGAGTCAGACCCAACCCATCCATCCATTCCACATTCCAGATATGCCTCTCCCTGCCTAATAAAAGCACGAATCTGGATTCGTGCGAACGAATCCAGGTTCGTGCTTGATGGAAATAGACCCTTCCTTCCCAGTTGAGTCAGACCCAACCCATCCATCCATTCCAGTCATGCCTGTCCAAGCCTAATAAACGCACGAATCTGGATTCGTTCGCACGAATCCAGGTTCGTGCTTGATGGAAATGGACCCTTCCTTCCCATTCCAGCCAGACCATACCCGGTCATGGCGCTGCTCTGCGATAGGATTTCGATGGCAAGCAAAGAAGCAGAGAGACAAAGCATGCACCCACTAAACAATAGAATAGTGTCGACCGTTGATTTGCCCACAGGTTGTTGCTGTAAGATACTATCTTGTTGTGAATGACGTCAGTGAATCGGCACAAATCCAAAAAGTCCAAGCCAGAACCCCATTCCCACTCGGCAGCATCCATTTATGATAGTTGCGAATGCCAAACAAACAACGCAAACATCAAACATACACAGTCATAGGGTATAGGTACGGTATACATGCATACCGTTGCCTGTAGCGTCGCGGCGGTAGGTTGTTGCTTCGTAGCACAGAGCCATCGGTGTCGATTTCGGAGAAAGGTGTTGTATTGGATAAAATGGGGCAACTTGAGATCGAAGGTCGCCTCGAGATCGTTGATGTCACTTATGGATTTCAAAGACAGAAAGGAGGCACCGGGTGTGCATTCTTGATTGGGGTTTAGTGCGGTACACGGGCGGTCCATGTACCGGTTCACTGTAGTGTACCGGAGGTTATGTAAGGAAGAAGCGCTCAGTCGAAGGATAGTACAGTACCAGTATCTACCGGTACATACGGACATGTACCATAGCTACCGGTAGGTAACAATGGCAAGGTGGCTTGTTTTGTATGACATCCCATTCCATCAAGCGTAGAATTCCGAGAGGTTGCTGAAGTTCTCATTGGCATGGCAGGGTGGCAAGCCAGCTGTACACAATTGCAGGTACATAATTGGCGGTATCCATGATCAGAATGCTCCACAGCGACGACACGATGGGATTGTCACAAGTAATCTACCGCTTCGTGCATACATACTGGTACCGGTACTGTACGTAATGGTACATCCACTCTTCGTTTGTTGGATGACGACTGCTCTCACGTGCACGTGTAGTATAGTTCGTGATGGTTCTTGACCGCAAAAACGGTTCCTGACTCCTGACTACGACTCGACTCGACTCGTCACTGGTCGTACCGGTTCTCTGATGCTTTGACTATAATAACGCTTTTAATTAACGGTTCTTTTTGGAAACTGTGACACAGATCGATTTGATTGGCCAATTTCCACAAGCCGCGAGGTTCCTTTTTTGCAGAGAACCCTCTTGAGAACTTGCCTCCAAGGAATTCTGCTGAAGGCGATGGAAAAATCGTCTCCTCCACCACAATTGAGCATTGGGCAGCCATCAGACCGTCACAACTCCAGCATTGACAGTCTCTCTTTGCTGTTCGTTCTATCTCATCATCTACTAGGACAATGACAGAATCCAACCCAACCATCAACTTGACCGATGCCACCCCGAGTAGCGAGGGCAACACTGGACCGGCGGCAGCTGGGACTGTGGAAGCGGCGGCGTCCATATTGATGGAGGCGGGGGTGAACTTTGCGGAGCTGCAGCTTCCGCAAGGATTACAGCGATTCGATCTTACTTTCAATACCGGCGCCACAACCAACAATGATGGATCGGTTACGATGGACCCGACCTTCGTGGAAAAGCAGATAGCCTTCTTTGAAGAGCAGAGAGCCTTCAACAAAAGACTGGAAGCCAAAGTGGACAAAATGCTCGCGAATCAAGCTCAGATCAAGGCCAACCTCGTCGCTCATGGCCTTTGGGAAGCTACCGGTACTAGCAACAGTCAGTAGCTCCACACAGTGAACCGTGATCTCCAATGATGAAGAAAAATTCAAGAAAAAAGACAAAACGTGATCTCCTTGTGATGGATGTCCTACATTCATCTTTGCGCCATGTCATTCTCACAAGACCATTCATACTGTATCGGCCAACCAGGAGGCCTTGAACCATTGCATCCAGATAGAGGAGCTCGATGGCTTCACGACAACTCATACTTTCAGGTGAACCTATATTGGGGATCCTCATTCTAGTATAGTTACTAAACGATCGTGTAGACCATTTGGCTTTCCCCAAAGTTGTTGCCATCGGTGGTGTCGTGCATCTCGTGTAGTGCTGTAGTTAGACTAGTTACACGAACATCCTGTTGGGAGATGTAGAAATGCAACGCCAACATATTTCTTAACGATGAGGCTTTTGAGAGGGAAACAAGCTCATGACTGAAAGATCAATCCCGTCTGAGAGCTCGTGTCTCATGACTCAAAGATACCTCGTGAATGACGTCAGTGAAATCCAAAAGTGCAAGCATGCGAACGCCAAGCAACAAGTAAGTGAACGACGCCAAGCAACTAGACTAATGAGACGACCACAAACACACACACACTCACCACCATGATGAAAGCTTTACACCCATCAAGCCTAGTAGTAGTTATCTTGCAACTGGTATCCCTCCTCTCTGGGATATCCGATGGTTTTCAGCCCAGGATTGGCAGCCATCATCATGATTGCAGGACAACGACAACGAGTTCCTCCATCCGACCCATTGGTGGTGACAACAAGAACCACAACCTCCGGCACTACCCACCACAACAACAACAGCAACAACAATTGAAACTGAGATCGGGAGCCGTTCTCCACCAGAGTCGTCAATCTGCCGATACTTCTTCTTCTTCCAAAACAACAACAACAACCAATCCTGTCATTGCCGCTTCCGGTCTGATTGCTCTGGATGTTTTGTTTCGACGAGTCTTTCAACTGCTGGCCATTTCCTTTCCGTCGTCGTTGGCGGGTTGTGGCATGCTCTTTGCCACGTTTTTGTTGGCGCCCGGTGGTGGTAGCAACCTTCATGCGGCACTCAGTCCAGGAGCTGCATTGCTGGCCAAATGGTTGCCCGTCTTTTTTGTACCCAGTCTGATTACCCTACCGTTGGCGGATAGTTTGGGATCATTTGCAGAAGTAAGTTTCAACAGAACAGAACAAGCAACAAGCAAAACAACAATTTAGCAAGAGAAAGAAAGAATTTATTGGCTTCAGTCTTTTTATTAATTGTGAAGCCGAGTGGAAATGTTTGGATGTTTGGATGAGCATCTCCTGGCTATCTGACTTACTTGTTCTGTATGTCTCTATTTTTGCTGCTGCTCCAGGTCTTGAAGGTAGCCGCCGTCATGGTGGGAGGATTTTATTTTACACTGCTGACAACGGCATGGACGGTGGTGGGCATTCGAAAACTCTTGCCATCCAAAAAAACGGCTGCTGCTGTAGAAGAAGAAACCCCCGCAAAACAGCAGGCACAACCCACAACACCACCGCCAAAGCCCTTTTCGGATGCACTCAACAATGGACTACGACTCACCACGCTGGCCAGTGCCATTGCCGCCATCATCACCACCAACAACAACAAGAGTCCCTTTTCGAGTCTCTTGACTTGCGTCTTTATGCTCAGTACTACATTGATGAATTTTGTGTTTGGTGCTCGACTCCCCAAATCATTCACCAAGATTGTGCATCCGTTGGTGACGTGCACCTCGTTGACGTGGGTGGTAGCCTATGCCTTTGCCAAGGCCACGGGAGCAACCTTCCTCTCCGTTTTAAAGTCCTATCGTACCAAATCCATGAGTTTGGCGACGAGTGGGGCTGGTGATGTAAGTTTTGTTGTGCTGCTTGCCATTGCCTGCTACTGTTTATTTTACCGTAGTATCTATCCTGAGGGCGTCTTTCTCACTTGATGAATTGTTATGACTACATTTTGTATCATATCCATCGAATCCATGGGAATCAATCAATCAATCATGATGATGTAACAACAACCAGCTTTTGATCTTTTTACTGGGCCCAGCCGTCGTGTCATTGGCATGTCAAATGTACGATCGTCGGAAACTCATGAGAGAAAATTTGGCCGAAGTGGGAGCGGCAGTCGGTGTTTCGGCATTTGGGGGCATTTTTGGAACGGCCGCTGCGGTCCGTGCATTGGATCTGGCAAGTCCCTACTTGAGATTGTCCCTACTGTCACGCAACATTACATCCCCCTTGGCCATGGCCATTGCCAGTATTCTAGGAGCCGATACGTCCTTTGCCGTCACCATTGTTGTCATTACGGGATTGATTGGGGCCAACTTTGGAGCTTCCATTCTCGACAAGTTTGGTATCACGGATGCGGTAGCACGTGGACTGGGAATTGGAGCCGCGGCACACGGTTTGGGGACCGCAGCATTGGTGAATGAAGAAGATGCATTTCCCTTTGCTGCCATTGCCATGGCTCTCACGGCATCCGCTGCCACTGTGATTGTGTCCATTCCTGTGTTCAAAAGGATAATTCTGCAATTGGCTCTGGGAGCCTGAAGAAGCAATCCATACCTTGCTAGCTAGTTGTTTTTAATAAAAAAGGCGTGCCTCCGTAGCAACGATAAACATGAGCACTACACGTAGCTTCTTTGTTTCAACAGTGGTACAACTTGTGCCATCGGAATCAGGACGCTGTAGGCGGCTAATTTTGTGGGGGTCGTAAAGCTGCAGTCAAGTCTATCCAAGCACCATTTCAAAGTGAGAATCCAACTGGCCTTCCTCCTATGCTTGTGAGCATGCATTACTGTACTACTCCTAACTGAGAGTTGTGCTGTAACCTTACCGGTACGAATACTATTTGAAAGGGTGTGAGCTCGCTCCCAGCTCCTCTATCGGTGGCAGCAAAAAGGGCGGCAAGACAGAATTGTTACCAAAAAATGCGCCAAAGCTACCTCCAATTCCGCTTGTCCCATGAAAAATGCTCCCTTACAAGTTACATCATGGCACAAAGCAATTCTTTAGATATCATTGGTGCAACCAGCTTGAAACACAGCTTGCATTGCGTATCGCCTCCGGACGCTCTTTTGCATGCTCTCAATTGTTCGTTCCATTGCAGTTTGTGGATCAGGTGTATTGTAAAATTGGCTCAAGCGACCATCAGGGAACACACAACCAACTTGGATTTTGGAAACAATTGACTTGGGTAACACTGCGCGACATGAGGAGATCAGCATGTTGGAGAAGAGGCCAGTATGGAAGAACTTCAGTTTGTCAGCGGTAAAGGGGCACAAACAGAAGACTTCTGTGCAGATCTTCTTTGCAATCTTGAAGTCCAAGTTAGAGGCCAAACTCAATCTATCACACTCGAACACAAATGTGATCCCAGTTCGAGTACTGTGGAAGTCTGGACCCATGGCATGAAACATATAGTAGAGGCCTGCAGCAAGTGTTTTCCAGCCTTTCTCTGTTCTCAGTGTCTGCAGATCACAGCATCTCATATCCATAACAGCACCATATCCACCAGTAGATCGGTTGCAGAGAAAATCAAGGAAGAGTTGGGGCATCGACAATACATGGTTGCGCAAAGCTACTAATGCATCTTCCAGAGTGTTTTGAATATCATATTCCTGCCGAAATCCCTGTAAAGATATGGCTCTGTCAACAGCAGCTCCCACATCACCTTGATCAATAATTGCTATCTGGCAGTACTCAAAATCAGATAGTTTGTCCAGATCAGGGCAGCTCTCAATGGCTGTTTTGATGGCCCGAGCCCAGTCACGTTCTTGATTTGTAAGGACCATGGACCGATCCACCAGAGGAGGCAATGGATATGGCTGCTGGTTTTCTTCATTCCCACCATCTTCTGCCGCGGGAGGAGCATTTTCGTTTTGGGGCTGCACCTCTTCATTCCCATCATCGCCTTCTGGAACAGGAGCCTCTTCATTTGGGCGATTTTCCCCTTCAACATCATCTTCAGGTGCCCTTGGCACTTGGTATATCTCCGCCACCACTACGTTCATCCTTGCTTTCAATCTTCGAATGGAACCAACTTTAAAGAATGGTCGATGAGATTTCGCTTGTGACCCTCAAGGTAAACTCCTTCAAACAGCTGTCGCTGAGGTATGGGCAACTCTAGCGAGGATTACCCTCCACAACACACAGCAGCAAGGCACGAAGCCTGGCCCTCGCTGCCTTCCGTAGATACTAGTACGGTACCGGTATCCTCCCTCTATTCTAAAACCCCCTGTCAGCAAGGCACGAAAAGTAAAACCACAAGCAATTGGCGTCTTCTTTGCCTTTCGGAGCCTGGCCCTCGCTGGCTTCCGATAGATTCCGTAGGGCAGTGGTACGAAGACGACTTCCCCTCTCTAAGCCTGTTACGTGAGACCCAGTGGCAGCGGATGATTACATGTCTGGCTATTGTAGCTGGTGGTGTTGTAGAAAGTGGAATGGCCCCTCGAATGCTTCCGAAGATAGCGTCCGTACCTAAAAACCCCTTTCTCATAAAAAAATGTGCCCCCCTGCCCCTGGAACCTAGTCCCAATTTCCACCCCTTTTTGCATAAGCCGGCCCCCCGCTGGCTTCCATCAATCTCTTTCCAAACACGAAACCCCCACTATCCCTTTCCTCAAAAATAGGTGCATGAGCAAGACGCCGTTCAAACTGCAAATGACAACGTCAACTCTAATAGTCAATCGCAGATATCTAGATCCTGGGACCTGAAGTACTAGTACATTCTGATATTGGCCCAGGTGCGTGGCCTGGTATGGTGATGGGTTTTTGCTTGAGCACAGGAGTAGCTAGGTCCAGGAGGAGACGGGCAGGAGAGTGGCCCAGAGATGGACGGTTCAGGGCCTGACATTCCTTTGCAATTTGAGCTACTAGCTTGCCAACAGAACCTTGGAGCTTCTGGACACTACGGTACCCACTCAATGGATCAGATGGCACCACCTCAACACCACCGCTTTGAAGATCTGTTGAGCAACTCTCGCTCCTCCTGATCAGTCACATCTCAATTGCAGTCGTTGCACTGGCTCTTGGCTTGCCGTCATGCCCAATATTTATTGCCATTTGCACATACCCACATCTCTGCTCAAGAATGGCGTGATGCTCTCTTTCTCCGGTTCGGTCTTACCCCCGACCTCTTCCTGCTCTAATCCCCCGTTACGAACATGTTTCTTTTAACGCCGAGGAAACTACCTGCCCCACAAATAAATTTTGACTATGAAAACGGCAAAGCTGTTTTAAAAGTTCCTTCAGGTAGACGCTACGGCATCCTAGCTATAGGACCACAATAAGCTATCCATCCGACAAGGTTGAGCTTAAACTCTTGCGCCACATACATTACATACATACATACATTGTATGTCTTCTTTGCTTGCTTGTACTAGCTAGTAGTAGTACGGTACTATTAGAGTCCAACACCCGCATTGTGGACAGTGTCTCGCAGCACCCGACTATCTTGCAAATCTTCCAAGGAATCAAAGACGGCGCACATTTCTTGAAAGGACATGGTCCCGTCATTGTCGGCATCGGCGAGATCCATCAACCGCCGCACATCTTGTTGAAGCGTGCGCGAACTGGGAAATCTGCGACGCATGGCTTCGTAGAGTTCTTCTTCGTCCACGACCCCATTTCCATCGGTATCCAAACTCTTGAAGAGTGCCACCATTTGTTGTTCTTTGAGAATGTGATCGAGTTTTTGAGACCGGGCCGCATGTGCGAATTCTGCCTTATCAATGGTTCCACTGTGGTCGTAATCGGCCTCGGCAAAGATATCATTTGTGATTGTCTGGGCCGTGGCGGCATCGTGTCCGGCATGCTGCAAGGCCGTTTGGAGTTCCAACCGATCAATTTCTCCATTGCCATCGACATCCATGGACCGGAAAATGCCCAACAACCATTGGGTGCGTGCATTCTCCAAGTTTTGTTCTTTGGACATGCGTCGCATTTGTTCCAAAAAGAGAAACGTCAAACAAAAGTGCGGTCCAATACGAAGAAAGGAAGGAACAAAGCCCTTCATAAAGGCGGCAGGACCTTCTTGTTTCCAAATCTGGTAGGCGGCGTGGACCATCCCGCCTTGGATGGATCCGGCAAAGAGACGGGTCCGAATGACATCGACGGGATTCATGGCGAGTGCCGACAAGAATCCACTGGTGAGCGCACAGGTCATGTCGATGGCAGGAGTATCTTGATAGCCATGTTCAATGGCGTATTCATGGAGCAGAGTATAGGAGGTCAAATTGACCGATGTACAGACCACTCCCAGAGCGACACTGGCGCCTCCGGCTTTGAAGAATCCTTGCATGCCTTGCGCCTCCCAAATGGATTGGGTAAATGCCAAGGGACCCACTATTGGGACGGGTGCGGCAGCAGCACCGCCACCGGCTCCCACCATATTGAGCATGGGCAGTGGTTGGGCCTGTACTTTGGTACGCACAATTTCAAACGGGTTGCAAATGAAAAAGCCGAGAGCACCACTAATGCCACCGGCCACCATGCGTTTCCAGGCCGGTGGAGAGTCGGGCCCCGTATGCACACGGTCCATAATGGGTTGATAGGCACCAATGCGAAACAGATTTTGACTCGTTTCTCGCATCATGACCGGAATCAATCCGCGTTGGAGGATACGAACGTCACTCGTAAGGCAGAGTCGAAAAAATCCGACAATGCCGCCACCTTGTTTTCCTTGAAACATCATGGCTTGTGTCTTGGCAACACCAAAGGGATTGGAAAAGGGAGCCGCCAATGTGGATGCCACGGCGGGAAAGAGAAACGACTGCCATTGAGGAAGAGGGGGAGCTTGGACCACCAACAAGTTGGATCCTTGGTTATTCTGTTGTACGAGCATCGCCATGGTACTAGTAGGACTTCTTTGAAAGAGGGAAGCTTGGATTGGAGCTCTTTTGCAAAGTTTGAGGTCCAGGAAATTGTGAGGGTTGAATCGAATCCATAATGACTGGCTTGTTCGCCCTTTTGGGTGGTGACGACAAAACTTCTTCCAGCAGGAAAAGAAGACCTGGACTCTAGGTTGATGTGGTAAAACAAATTTAGTATAAACCAAATTTGATTTAAAAACTGCTTTAACCCTATGTTTACCTCAACTACGTTAAAAACGATCTGCCCGAGACTGATCGCAGAACATGCAACGGTTCGATGGAGAGATTGAGATCTTTTAGGGAAGCACAAACGTCAGAAGCAGCAGATGTGACTTATGAATGGCGATTCCAAACCGGTTGACTATGAAGAAGAACATGAAGTGCGTAGGCATCCATTTCTACTCGTTTTATCACAGTGATTGGTCGAAGGTACTCTAGTATTGTGAATCTGGTCTTTCGGACCTTCGCACCGGTACCCGTATTCTTCTTTACTTATGTCTTGTGATTTCGTTCTTTGGGTAGCGTGATTTGTCCGTCACAAATTTTCACTTAGGCTAAGTGCTCGAAAATCCACTTAGGCTAAGTAACACTTAGCCTAAGCAATACACTTAGGCTAAGCAACTCACTTAGGCTAAGCGAAACACTTAGGCTAAGCCATACTAATCAACTCACTTAGGCTAAGCAAAACACTTAGGCTAAGTGATGCTCTCCGAGGCTCCTCAACAGCACAAGTCTCAAGTCTCCTCAACAGCACAACACAACAAGTCCCTGCAACAAGCACACACACAGCCACAAGGAGAGACACAACTATCACCCATCATGCCCCCACTTTCAGCTTCATGTGAACTGCTCAAAGAGCTTCACAAGAAAGAGTTTAATTGGGTTACAACAGAGATTCGAATTCAGGTTGCAACTTCCCTGGAGGATGACACCACTCATACTATTAATCTGGCTTCCACCCTTGGCTATGGTGTGAATAATCCAAAAAACCCAGACGACAGCACAGTCTATTGGCTGCGAAAATTGAGGAAGGAACGATTCACAAAACATCACGTCCCATCAAAGGCGACGACGAGAAATGTCCTTTCTATTTCAATGTCTATTGGTCTTCCCAGCATAATCAATGGTACCTTCCTAAGCTGCAACGTGGTTGCAAACACCATGCTGGTCCCATTGCGGATTGTGATAAACCAGTTTCTCCACGAGTCAGTAGTTGCTTGAACTTGAAATGTGAAATAATATCGTGGAAGTCTGAAACTTGACAAGAGATTATCGCATTTTCTTCGGTTGTTGATTAATTCTTGTCACTCCAATGATGGAAAAAATTTAACATGATCATTGGTTCGCAATGATGAAAACACACTGTTGATTCGATCGGCAAGACCATGATATACCGTATAGAATGAAAAAGCAACACGCTTTGCTCCAAGGCGTTTTATCAATACAGCTCCCAGAACCAAGTAGAGACCACTTGAAAACACATAGCTCGGAACATCGTTGTTTCCAGGAAGTTGAGTGATATTGTCTACATTGATAAGGGGAATCTTGTCCAAACAACCAATAACCGTTGGAAAGAAGTTATTTTGGAAATCAATATTGTCGTGATATTCCTGGTTGAACAAGCGTCCGTAATGCGTAGAAGGGTCTATCGTCATAGGCTTGGTGCTCTTGGTAGGGATTAGAATCAAAATGCATAGACCTGTAGATGCTGTTATGTTTTCTTTTTTCCGCTTTCTGTCATGCTGTTTTGTGTGCTCACGTTGCTTCTCTTTCTTCTTTTCTTCGGAGTCAACAACTGCTCCTATGACATGGTCAATCTCAGACCCAAGCTCAGACTCAATCAAATCATCCTCGCCAACACTATTGTTGGTGTTGGTAGCATTGGTATTGTTGGATGCACCATTGGCCTGTCCTTGTAAGAGTGGAAGCTCATGGTCGTGATTTGTTTCCATCCTTAACAGTTTTTATATTGACATATCTCAGAGCCAGGGTTTTCCCAGTGCCTTTGAAAAAATGAAATCTGACAGATTATGAGCTGAGAGAAGCTGCCACGAAAAGTATCACTTAGGCTAAGTAATTCACTTAGGCTAAGTGGATCACTTAGCCTAAGTAATTCACTTAGGCTAAGTGAATCAAATGTGACTGACTACTTGGTAAATCAAATAAGACTGAATTTCACTTGGGCTAAGTGAACCACTTAGCCTAAGTAAATCAAATTGAATCACTTAGCCTAAGTGAAAATTCAATCACTTAGCCTAAGTGAAAATTTGTGAGGGACAAATCACGCTACCCTCGCACTGCTACTGATCTACTGATTAAAGATTACTCCCAGTATTAATAAAGTACTTTTTATACTGGATAGGCATACGTAGCCAAGAAATTGAAGAACACTAGTGGTGCTGTCCTTTAAATCCTGATGGAGCAGAAGCAAAACACAAATTTTAAAATTGTGTTTTGCTTCTCAACTGCACCGGTACCGGTACCGGTACAGGTAGCATCAGTTTTAACCTTGATTCGATTTCGCTTGAAGACATTTCGGTACTGGTTGTTGCTATTGAATAGCTACCGGTAGTACTAGCTAGCTAGTAGAGTACCGCACAGCTGTAAACGGAAATCGTTGTGAAGATCACCTCTCTCACCTCTCACAGCTCCTCTCACAGCTCCTCTCACTGTTCTGTCACTGTCTAACAGCGTCAGGCACAGTTTTGATCGCTGTTTACTGTAGATACTTTATGGCACTCTCACGCTTTGCTGCATTATTTATTTATTTGATTGAATTTCAATCTTCAGTGGCACCATAGCATCACCCAAGCTAGCGCTCTCCATCCGCTACAGTACATGTAGACTTCTGTCATAGCAATGGCAGAGTTAGCTAGAAGAGCTAACTGAAGCTTGTTCTACCGACGGTATTGGTGAGATAGGTGTCACTGCCCAGGTCACCATTGCATCAGCTATTGCATCACAGCGCGAGTGTGCATGTTTAGAGCTGCAGAAGGTCAGTTGTACGGAAAACGATTTTTAAAAAAGAACAGTTGGAAGAGGAAGAGTTGAATGGGGCACCAGGGAGCCATGGTGATGTTGTTAGATTTATTAATACCACAGCTTTACCACAAGGTGTCAATGGAGATTGCTATTGCTTTTGCTAGAAGTGTTCTTGAAAACAGGAATTAATGCATTGTCATTCTGAGTGAAGTAAAAGCAAGCCCTCGGCGCAGTAGAAAAAATAGCAACTACTAATCTTTGTGACAAACAAACAATTAATGCATTGCCCTGTTCTATTTTACTGTACCGGTAGTTTTGCGTGAACCCCTTCTTATGAGTCAGTGTGGAGAAGTTGAAGCGGGAAGATATCCGCGATTGTATCTGTCCGATGTGCCTCAGGCCTACGTGAAACCGGAGCTAAGCAGTAAGAATCGCTATTTTGGTACGCACGATTCCTAAACAAAAAAGTTCTCTTGAAAGATGTCACAGTGACCATTGAAGGTTGAAGCTTGAAGTGCTGCATGCTGCACGCACGCTTATTCCTCTTTTTATTCATTCATTTTTTGCGATCTCCCTCCATCATCATCTCTTTCATCCTCATCTCTGGCTAGCTATAGCTAGCTATCATAGATACTGTACCGGTAGTGCTGTAATACCTATCCATTATAATTATCCAGCTCTTCATAACACTTCTTTATCATAATCAATCATGTACGGGCTGGTGTTTGAGATTTTGGAAGAATTTGTATTGGATCAAAATGACGGTCGGTCCTTGTGGCACACCATCAAATCCCAAGCCAATTGCAAGATTCCCGATCAGAGTTTTCTACGACGCTCTCATTATGCCGACGAAGAAATTATGAATTTACTACGGGCTGCCAGTACTGTTTTGGGGTTGGACATGGACTCGCTGCTCAAGACATTTGGTAAATTCATGATTCGACATCATTACCTCCATGGCTACAACGAATTACTACGAGCCAATGGCGCTACACTCCGCCAATGGTTATCCAACTTGAATGGCCTCCACGACCACGTCTCGAAAAGTTTCGCGGGTCATCAAGTGAATTTCCAAGCGCCCATTTATTGGTGTGAAGACTGCGATACAGTAGAAGCATCGATTCTATTGCATTACTACAGTTTTCGCGGTACCACTCTTGTTCCCATGACGGTCGGGATTGTCCAAGAATTGGCATCCTTCCAGTTTGGTGTCGACGTGACACTCACTCAATTGGCACTGCAAGGACAGGATGGCGCCGAATTTACCACCTTTCGCATTACGGCCACGGATCCGTCGCAACGATGGAAATTGAGTCCAACCGTCGCCATGGACGATGTCATTGATTTTAGTCAAATCGAATTGCCCGATGACATGTGTCCTTTTTCCAAACAAAGTAATGGCGGCTTTTCGGGAAGTTCGGGGGGTGATACGGCTTACAGTATGGATGATGACCACAATCATGACGACAACCACCAAAACAACAATCCGTTGAGCAGCGAACAACTCCAATCCATTTTTCCCTTTCACGTCCTCGTCAATCGACAATTTCAAATTGTGCAAATGGGAAAATCGCTGCCGACCATTTTGAACCGCACCGAAGAAAAATTGTTGGAGCGACACATTGGCGATGTCCTGACGATTGTTCGTCCCGTCATGGGATCGGCATGGGATTGGCAAGCCCTGAAAAAATTGCAAGATCAACATTTCTTTCTCGTGCCCACCACTGTCAAACCGACGCATGCCCCCATTAAACGCACCAAATCGATTGATCAAGATGCCATTTTTGGAAAACCCATTCGCGGTAGTTTTACACGTCGAAGAGCGACACTCAAAAAAACCGATTCCAATTTACGTCGTAAAGTCTCCATGGCCGGTGCCACGATCAAATTCAAAGGCAGCATGTTGGAATTGGGGCGCGCTAATACCAATAATAAGCGTCGTGGTGGAGGACATGTCATGTTTATTCTCTCGCCGGATGCCCGGAATGTCTCGGAATTACGGCAAATGGGATTGACCATGGACGATTTGCCGCTTCATACATCGCAACGGGATGCCGTCTTCTTGGGAGAATACATTGGACAAGAAGTCGACATGGCCAACAATCTTGATAAATTGTCCAAAAAGTTAGAGGTCGAAAAGAATTTGAGTACGGCGCTGTTGTACAATATGTTGCCCCGCGTCATTGCCGATGAATTGCGCAGTGGGAGTGCCGTGGAACCCAAACATCACGAACAAGTCACACTCTTTTTTAGTGATATTGTGGGATTGTGAGTATCTCGCTTGATACTTATCATTCATACCAATGATAGTATTTGGAAGGGGCACATGCCGTGACAAAAGGAATCGAATCTGTTCTCACACACGATGTTCTCTCTCTAATCTGTGCATCCACGCAGTACCACAATTTGGTAAGTTATGAGTTGCACACCCAGAGTGTTTTTCGACAACTGCGTGCTTTTAAAAAATTAAGGAGCCGTTTTCTAACCCACTTTTTGGTTTCGTTTCTGTGCAGTTCACAAGTCGACCCATGGGCTGTCATTGATCTGCTCAATAGATTGTACAGTATCATGGATCATTGTGCCGCACATTTCAAACTGTACAAAGTTGAAACCATTGTAAGCAGCACTTAATAAAAATGGAACACCTGGTTGCAGCTAGCTGAGGTTGCAGTTTCAGTTTCATTCCTAGTATGGAGTGTTTTGCTTACCACCACTATTCTTGTTTTCTATTGATTGAATCATAGGGGGATGCCTACATGTGCTGCAGTGGATTGCCAGAGCCAGATGAACTTCATGCAGGCAAGTTCTGTGCATTTCATTCCGTTTGCAAGACTTTCATTTTTTGGACCGTCTCACATTAATATATCCATTTCTCGTTCGTTCGTTCTTGTACGTGCACAGAAAACATTGCCAACTTTGCCATTTGTGTCATGGAATGTGTGAGACACGTGCCGTCGCCGGTGGATGGGTCGCCGCTACAACTCAGAGTGGGAATTCACACTGGATCGTGTACGGCGGGAGTTGTGGGAACTCTCACGCCGCATTACTGTCTCTTTGGTGACATGGTACGGGTTGTTTGAACGAATTGCTTGCTTGACATTCGGAGTAACGATTGATCCTCATCGCTTGGTTTCTTTTTGTGCTTTTAGGTCAATGTCACGGCTCGTCACGAGTCGACCGGGACGGCTGGAAAAATTCAATGCTCTAGCGAACTATTTGCAAGCTTGACGCACTTTTCCAAGTACGAGGAAGAACAATACGTGATTTCACCGCGGGGACTAGTCAACATGAAGGGCAAGGGCGATCAAGTAAGTCGTTTTCATCCTTGCAGAAATTTGAATTGTCACACACTTCAACCTTGAGTGCCTCACACGTTTTGCAACCAGATGACCTATTGGCTAGAGGGAGGGACCAAAGCTAACGAGAAGGCAGGGCCGGCTGCAGTGCAAGCACTGTACGAGACTGTGGGGAAAATGTTGAAGAAACAGAATTGGAAACATAGACGGTACTTTCGACGGTCCGGGGCACTTAGGGGGGACGACATGGACAACTCCGTGCTGGGTGGAAGCAGACACTGGCCGTCCACCGATGACACGACGGACACAACGACTGCTACGTCGGATACGGGCTATACGTTCTGTGGTCCCTTTACGTCTATCGAATCCCTCCCGGCAGCTCCTCCTTCCGATGAGAGCGAAAGCGTTTCGGAACAGAGTATGGAAGATGGAATTGAGCCAGATAGGTCGAAAAGGACCAATGACGACTCTGTATTTGCAAGTACCAACGGCCTGTCTAAACACATTTTCGAAAGCAATATGACAAACGAAGAACTCGTCTCCGCTGTGCATTCACTCCTGTCGCCATTGCTGCAGCTTTGTTTGTCAGACGACGAAGGAGCTGAACAATCAACAAGTGACCGTGATCGCCGAGACAAGGAGCTGATGGCATTTGTGGACCACATCTCGATGACATTCAAACGACAAAACGCTTATCACAACTTTCGCAGGACAGTTCACGTCGTCCATTGGGCCAACTTTCTTTTTGAACAAATGCAAGAGGAAGGTGCAGGTCAGACAGGAGGTATTGACACTGATCCTTGGTTCCGGCTCACTCTAGCCTTCGCAGCATTGCTGAGGGATTGTAAGCACACCGGCATATCACAAAGCCAGCTGAAAGAAGAGGAGAACATGGTCTATGAAATGCACGGCGGCGAAAATTGCCAAGCTCGATACGGCTTCCGCTATGGATTGGACATCTTGGCCGAAAAATTCCCAGACCTTTACGACGACCTTGTGTTGGGATTTCCTACCTTTCTCTACCTTATGAAGAAACTAGAGTCGCCCGCAAAATCATTCAAGAAGAAAAGCACCGGCGATGAAACAAGCATCAAGGACACGGTGGCTGCCATGGGAATCGCCCTTCGATTAGCGAGCATGGGACACTTCGCTGTAGAACCCGACAGTTTCTTCAAATGGAACCAGGCAGCGTTTGCAGAATTGAGGCTCGCAAACATGGGGCAACGTGGAAGCGACCCAACTCCCGTCTGGAACGACCAGTGTGTCCTATTCATTGAAAAGAACGTCTTGCCCGTGGTGAAGGCGTGTGACAGCTTGCTACCAAATGTGACAAGCACAACTCTTCATGACACTGTCGCTTCAAATTTGAAGAGCTTTGAATCCAAGGCTGAAGACTACCCACGCCGGAGTCTAGTGGACGAAAGTGAGCGATCGACGGCCCATGTTTCGGTCGCAATTGATGTCTTCCGCTAAGTTGCGTCTGCTCTCGCCGGGTTGACTGTGCTGCAAAAGAAGCATCGTCGATAGAGTGAATGTCGGAGCTTTTGAGAGGAACCAAGCGTCCACCTTTCCCCCGCGAAACTTCGTATTGGCAGATGGAGAGTTGTCCCCACTGCTCATTCTGCTTTTGGCTGTCTCACCTTCTCTTTGCACCCATCAGCAAAACTTGAACGCTGTTCTGCACGACGATATTTATGCATGAAATAAAATTCTTTGGATTTGACTACTGTAGCGAGAGCACATCAGCGGACTGTTTGAAAGAAAGTCTACGTCGTTCGATTACGCATAACACAACCCACAACCTTAACATGACTGAGTGACACACGAATGTTTGTCGTCCCATGGTATGGTCGGCCTATGATCCCCGTAACCGCTCATTCAGTCACTGGAAGGGGTGGAGCCTTGACTCGACACTTTGAACACCGACCAACCTTCATGGCTTGTTCCAGTCATTCCCCTACTACGTTCCCACCAATTGGCAGTGATTTGGGGACCTCTGAATAGGGATTCGGTGTGGGGGGATTTTTGGCGTAGAACACAATCAACTTGCACGAGTCACGTTCCGGCCAGTATCCGAGGGAAGATGCGACTTGCTGTCCGAATGGCATCAGTAGCTCCATAGAGCGGAACCAATAGAGCAATACTTGTGCAAAACCCCATTCTTAGTCATTGAGCTAGAACAAAAGCGACAAATTCACTTGAAGAAGAAGAAATGTTGGGTGGGGGAGGAGAGGAAACCGCAAGCAGAAATCATGTGACACCAGCCTCCGTAGACGCAAGCCGTCGATTGACGAGGATCTGCTATGCCGTCGGGAGCTCATCAACGGGTGGAAGCGAGCACTTCTGTGACAACAAACAATCCACAACGGTGGGAGTTCACGAATGAATCACAGCCGGCACAACGAAGGCCCCACACCACGACGATAGAGCCCGGATGGCCCAGCGAGCGGCAGACTTGTGGTTCGATGTCGTTTTGAGAGAAAAGCAATCCCTAGGAAAACAGGACACCATCATTCGCGGCAGGAACGAGGTACCCATTTCTCGGTTCTCGGCTAGTTTGGATGACAACGAGTAGCGTGGTTGCGTCAGGTTCGGCACCATATCTTACAACCGGAACCCAGAAAGAAACGAATGACGCAGCAGAGCTAATGTTTACAAGACCAGGGAAGAAACAAATAAAGTCCAGCTGAACATTAGTCAGCGCCAGCACACGACAATCTCTTCGCGCCTAAGGGTCTTTTGAATCGAATCAGTGCGTGGCGGCCGCTACAAGCAGTGCATCATGAAGTCAGATGCCCCATGGCCATGCTCATGGACTGAGCCAAGCCTGCAGCTGCATCAAACATCACCCCAGAACCGGCACCATTGTTGTTTGGACTTGGACCATAAAACAACAGCTTTGTTGCAGAAACAGTGTAGCCCAGAGTGTCAGGGATGCCGCTGAAACATGATACAATAGTTGATTGGGAGAGCAAGTTGAGGGCTTGGGCACCATCAAGTGAGGTTCCAAGGTCCTTTGCTGCTTCAGGTGGGACAATGGCCATTGTTCCTTCATATGTGATTGGAGCCACATAGCCTGACTCAACAGAAGCATCAACTTCTCGAACAGACATCCATCTATCAAGCCCATTCTTGACATAGACACTCTGCCCATTATCAAAATACTTTCTGAGAACACCAAAAGACTTGTGGTAGGTTTCAATTGTTTCTGTTGTGTCTTGAAAGAGGCCAAAGAGAAGATTGTGGTTGGCAGAGGCAGTGACAGTCTTGATGGTGCCATCCTTGCTGACATAGCCAACATTGAGGAATCTGGACTTTGGGGTGTCCATTCTGTGAGCAAAGTCCACTACCGGTGAAGTTGCAATCATTTGCTTGGAGGCGGTGGGTTGTGGGCTATTGGACCCGGTCACAATTTGGTCCCCCAGCTGAAGCTCTGCAAGTTGTTTGAGGGCATAGGTTCCTTTGCCCAGGGACACAAGGACAGTGCTGTTGAGTGGAAAGCATATACTTTCATCTCCCAAATCCCCTTGTTCCAATTGTCCTTCGGCAGACAACTCTGTGGCAGGGAGCCGGATATCAGGAGGCTCTGCAATGGCACGAAGAAGAAAGTATCGCACAAAATCTCTGCCAGTGGAGATTCCCAGTCCAGCAATATCTGCCACAGTGTCATTCCGCTGAAACACAATCTTCTCCATCATACGTTTGGAGTACGGTGTCAGGCCTTTCTGGTCGTCTTGACCAAGAACCTCTAGGAGGACTTCATTCACTCTTGGAGCAAAAGGACCTGCCATGGCTTCATCCAGCCTCAAAGTTCGATTAATCCTGTGTTCTGCTTGCAACTCGAGCAGTTCTCTCTCCAAGTGCCTGGACACACAAAGTGCATTGTCACGTATTTCATTGAGATTCCATCGTGTCCAGTGCTCGTAGGTGTTTCGGAGAGTGGCATTTTTGCTGTACAGAGACTCGGTCCACAGTCCCGAAGCACAATCTGGATGAATGCGATTCTCAACTGCTTCCGATGCAGCATTCCGCTGACGGACAATGACATCTCTTAGTGTTGTGTAATTCTCCATGGACAGCTTGTCCGCCACCAACAAACGATTGACAAGATCCAGACTGGGGCGGACATAGGTATCATCAATAAACTCCATGAGTGATGAAACAAAATTTTCTACTTCTCGTCTGGCAGCCAGGCACTCAGTCTTCATCTGTTCATCATTGCATCCAATCCTTACTAGAATGGTTTTCCCAGAGTTCCAGTCTCCTTCTGTGTAAGATTTGGGGAGCGATACCCCACAGTTGCAGAGAGCATGAGCCCCTGGTATGGACGACAAAAGGAAGCAGGAGACAAGGGCAGAAAACGCCTTGCTTTGGGTCATCATCATTGTTACTCCTAGCTAGTAGTATCTTGCTGTGCTTGCCAGCTATTATGCACAGTGTTTCTTTGGTCGTTGGATGGATGCCTCCCACCTGCATCCGTTTCATCGTTGGGTCCCATCGCTTGTCCACGTTTCCGGTTCACATAAGAAAACAAGTAATAAGTATAAGTATCGACTATCGCCAACCCATTACTCAACGTCTTGCTCTAGCCGATGTCTTGATAGCTCTGACAGCCTGTTCGATGAGCCAATTAAGCTGGAAGATATTGATTGTCAAGTGCCACGTGGCAGACTGGACAATGACGCAGATGGTGAAGAAAGACATCAGCAAGGGCAATACGACAACCAACAAAAAGAAGAAACAAGAGTGCAGACTAGCAGAGGTTGTGGAACGAAGTGGCTCGCCAACCGTCATAGTTAGATAGATGAAAGAGAGAAGAAAAGAGAGGAGAAGAAGATGTCGTTGTGTATACTACTAGTCAGACTGTTTGCCTTTTTGGTCTTGAGCCATGGCGCTACCGGCTTTCTTTCTCGCTCCATTCCCACCACTTCATCTTCTCCCACCACCCATTCAGCCATTGTCGCATCCTTGCGATTATCTTCCCTAAAGGCAGGAGTTCGTCTGGTGATCTTGAAAGATGACGACAATGAGGATGAAGAAGAAGAGGAAGATGATGACGAGGAAGAGGAAGAACAAGATCCATATACCCAAAAAGCCACTTCGGAATTCTTGGACGATAACGACGACAAGTCTTCGTCTGCCTTGTCCACACTGACTGGCAGTTCGATTGATTGGGGCGGTGCCTTGGGGAAACTGCGACAACGCGTCCAAGATGTGGAATCGGGAGCATCGCAAGATCCTTCCACGGCACTCTTTCGCTTCATGTCGGCCAAAACTCCCAACGAATTGATTGGGACATTTGTGCAAACGGCCAACCCCAAAGTCGTCCAAGCGTGTTCCGATGCCGTCAATAGTCTTCTCGGTGGTTTGTCTAGCCCGAGCATGGGCATTGAAACCATTGTCAAGACCAATGGTGAAAAAATTGGATCGCTCTGTTTTCAACTTCAAATGACGGGTTACTTGTTTCGCAATGTCGAATACGTCCTAGCACTCAAGGAAATGATGGCACTCCAGGGTGCCGCGACACTGCAAGATTATAAAGATGCCTTTGACAAACTCGATACGGACGATTCGGGATTTATTGAACCGGCCGAAGTCCAAACGTTATTGGATGATGTCTATCAAGGCACGGCACCCAAATTTGAAGTCGATGCCTTTGTCAAATTCTTTGATCGCAATCAAGATGGAAAAATTAGTTGGACCGAATTCGAATCGGGATTGGGGGCTGCCATGACCACTACAAAGTCGCGACCCAAATTGCTGCAATCCAGAGCAGGCGACGATGATGATGAGGACGAAGAGGATGACGAAGAACCCATGGTACTCAATTATGAAGTGACTGGTACGTGTTCTCTTGATGAAATTGAGCTGAACACGACAACACCCTTACTGACTTACTAGCTGACGAACCTACCTTTTGTCCTTCTCTATCTACCTACAGGTGACATTGAAATTGAACTGGACAATGGAGAAACCATCACGGTCGAAGCCAAGGAATACATCAAAAGTCTCAAGCAAGAAGCTGCAGCGCTCCGAGAAGCACTCGAACAGCAACAACTGCCCGATGCCAACAAGGCCGGTACCAATGGAATGCTAGCAGCACAACAACAACAACAATCATCCTCCGCAGACTATGGTGGCATTGCCCAATACATTGCACAACGACAGGGAGATATCAAGGCATTGACCGAAGGAATTCAACCGGAAATTGTCGAAACCATGAAAATGCTAGTCGATTTTGTACTACAAGGAGGAGATCCGGCTCGAACGCCACAACCCAAAAAGGAAGAAATGGAAATGGAATTGCCGGGATCGGCATTGCAACAATTGGCACTCTGGCAACTGGTACTGGGATACCGATTGAGAGAAGCAGAAGCTACCGGAGAGTACTTGAAACTGTTAGAGTAATCAGTAATACTGTAAATAGCAGTTGCAGTTTGGTAGCTGCGTGCGCGGCTGTTGAAGTAACGTAGGATGCGCCCGATGGGAAAGTATGGAAGGAACCTCAGTAGTGCGGAGACTGCGTACGACGCCATAGCTGCTCCACGCACCCAAACTAACTTCTTAGCGCGACGATCTCCGTCATGTCATCTCTTTTCTCCCTGCAGGCATGCATTCGTGTGCTTCCTTCCTTCCGGGGCACTGCTGCGTGCCTGTGCCTATCAACCGATGGAGCACTCACTGTTCAGCTTGCACCAATGATGGCTAGCTAGTCACTACACCGGAAGAGAGGTATGCGACGAAATCTTCAAACCAAGGAGTGCACTGCTAGCTGGCTTACGATACGATGAAGATATTCAAACTCGTAGTGTTGTTGTTGGTCATGCAGGCCAGTGGGCTGCACTACTCTTTTAAAATCTATGTCTATTTAGCAAGAGGGAGGAAAGGTTTTTCTCACAATCCATGTTTTGGTTTTCTGGGAGGAAAACCAATACCGGTAGCTTTCGAGGGTTTCGCCGCACACCTCCAGCGTGGTTGGTCCCGCAGCGTGGAAAGACTCAGACGATGGCAACAGACCTCGCAAGACGTGGATAGACACGTTATAAGACTCACCTGCACTTCCACAGTTATCGGTAGGCTGGGTAATACTCAAGACTTAGTTAGTCAAAAGAATGGTTTACCGAATCTATCTGAATCTCAGTCGAGTCGTGAAGATGGACGTCATGGAGGAGCAGCAACATGCTTTCCTGTCTCTTCGATTTGCTCATAAAATTTCCAGCACCAAAACCCAAGCAAACTCAAGCAAAAGCAAAATTAGAAGCAGCACAAAGCAAACAAACAAACGAAAACAGCTCACAAAACAAGCAAGCAAGACAACAATGATTCAAAGCAAGGCCATCTCTGCCCTTGTCTCCTGCCTCCTTCTGTGGTCCTTGTCTTCCATACCATGGGCCCAGGCTCTCTGCAACTGTGGAGTGTCACTTGCCAAATCATATGCAGAAGGAGACTACAACTCTGGGAAAACAATTCTAGTAAGGATTGGATGCAACGATGAACAGATGAAGACTGAGTGCCTTGCTGCCAAACGAGAAGTTGAAGACTTTGTGTCGTCCCTCATGGAGTTCATTGATGACACCTATGTCCGCCCCAGTCTGGATCTTGTCAATCGTTTGCTGGTGGCTGATAAACTGCCTATGGAGGATTACAGCGCTCTGAGAGATGTCATTGTCCGTCAGCGGAATGCTGCTTCTGAAGCAGTGGAGAACCGGATTCATCCAGATTGTGCTTCCGGACTGTGGACTGAGTCTCTGTACAGCAAAAATGCCACTCTCCGAAACACTTATGAGCACTGGACACGATGGAATCTCAATGAAATACGTGACAATGCACTTTGTGTGTCCAGGTACTTAGAGAGAGAACTGCTGGAGTTGCAAGCGGAACACAGGATTAATCGAACTTTGAGGCTGGATGAAACCAAGGCAGGTCCTTTAGCTCCCAAGGTGAATGAAGTCCTCCTAGAAGTACTCGAAGGAGACGATCATAAAGGTTTGACACCATACTCCAAACGCATGATGGAGCAGATTGTATTTCAAAGGAATGACACTGTGGGTGACATTGCTGGGCTGGGTATCTCCACTGGCAGAGACTTTGTGCGATACTTTCTTCTTCGTGCCATTTCGGAGCCTCCTGATGTTAGGCTCCCGGCCACAGAGTTGTCTGCTGAAGGACAATTGGAACAAGGGGACTTGGGAGATGAAAGAGTGTGCTTCCCACTCAACAGCACTGTCCTTGTGTCCATGGGCAACAAAACATATGCTCTCAAGCAACTTGCAGATCTTCAGTTAAAGGACCAAGTTGTGACAGGTTCCAATAGCCCACACGCCGGCTCCAAGCAGATGATTGCAACTTCTCCTGTTGTAGACTTTGCTCACAGATTGGACACCCCAAAGTCAAGATTCCTCAATGTTCGCTATGCCAGCACAGATGGCACCACCAAGACAGTCACTGCCTCTGCCAACCACAATGTTCTCTTTGGCGTCTTCCATGGCCAAACTGAAACTATTGAAACCCACCACAAGTCTTTTGGTGTTCTCAGACAGTATTTTGATGATGGTCACAGTGTCTATGTCAAGAATGGGCTTGATAGATGGATGTCAGTTAGAGAAGTGGATGCTTCTGTTGAGTCAGGTTATGTGGCTCCAATCACAAAAGAAGGAACAATGGCCATTGTCCCGCCTGAAGCAGCAAAAGACCTTGGAACCTCACTTGATGGTGCCCAAGCCCTAAACGTGCTCTCCCAATCAACTGTTGTATCAACTTTCAGCAGTGTCCCTGACACTGTGGGCTATTCCATTTCTGCAACAAAGCTGTTGTTTTATGGACCAAGCCCAAACAAGGATGGTGCTGGTTCTGGAGAGATGTTTGACACTGCAACAGGTTGGGCTCAGTCTGTGAGCAAGGCCCTGGGCCATTTGGCTTCACAGTAGCAACATTTGCGGCATGGTGATGTGGTAGCGTGGACTAAACCTAGATTAGGAGTTATCGTAGCAGGACTGAACTTGCGCCCGGGAAGGGGTGAATAAGCAATGGTTTCCATAACACCTTTTGTATGCTTTTCTTTACCGTATCGACGTTGTATTGGTTTCGGCACCGAAGGGAGTGGCTGCCCTGGCAAAGCCACCCAATCGGACGGCCCTGTCAATGCTCTTTCCATGGAGGGAAGACGGGGACAGCATGGCGACAGAGCCCATATGACATAGCTCTGCTCTCCGAAGTCCGTGACGTCAGGGCTGGGGCAAAAAGTCCAAAAAGATCCAAGATCAAAACGTCCAAGATCACATTCTCATTCCACCAAATTTGTTTTCTCAAAGAGGGAGGTGTTCGAAAGGTCAAGAAGAGAAAGCTAGCTAGCTTGTAGCAGCCCACCAAAGGAGAGAAAGAAGTATTACGATGCTCAGCTACAGAGGAACCATGGTGCCCATTACTAGTGAGCAGATCGGAGTTGCCAAGAAGACAAGATCAGAAAGTCGACGCCGAAAGCACACACACCCGTTTGGTGGTGGGTTACTGTCGGTACTGCTGTCACTGCTCTTATTGCTTCGGCCAGCCTCTGCCCAAGAAGAGCGGATTCCTATTTCCGTGACCATTATCAATCAGAGCGGATCCAACTTGTTGAGTCACTGGATCGATCCAGATTCGGGTGCCTTTGTGGCTTTGGACGACGAAGAAGACCCTCTGGTCAATGGCAAGTATTCCAACTACAACACTTTTCCAGGAGATGAATTTGCCTTTTATCGACAGGACGACGATCGACATCGCCTCGTGTTGACCATTGATGATGACGTAGACGAAGAGGAGAATGATGAGACCTGTAACCTGGTCAAGGACGATGAAGATTGTCAAGTGCCTCGTACGTAAAACAGCAAGTAGAGAGGAGGTCCTTCAGGTTGCAAAATGAGAGTTGTTTGATTCTTATTAATACTCACTTTTGACTTGCATGCTGTGGAAAACCAGGACTCTTTTACTCCATTCATCCTGATTTCCGCATTGAACGAGAGATCAACACGGATCGCATCCTGTCTCTCATTGAGTTGTCCAATGAGGGAAAGCTGTTGGCACCTCCACCGCCGCCGCCTCCGCCTCCTCCTTCGGACGATGCCAGTGACAATCATCAGGAGCCTGCTAAAACCAAACTGTTTGTCCGCAATCAGAGTGGATCCTATGTTCATGTCTATTGGAGAGACCTAGAGGAACAAACCTCCTATCAATTGACCATTGAAACTCCACTGCTTCCCTACGGCGAAGATTCGGAAATGGCCTTTAACACTATGGAGGGGCATACCTTGGAGTTTCGCGAAACACTCACTTGCGACGATGATAATGATGACGATGAAGGGTCTTGTCGAACCGTTCTGTTTCAAGTTCCTTCGGGTGTCGACGTCGGAACACGTAAGTTGTCGTTCCATGGAGATATTCTTTCTTGCGTGAGTGCCTAACTGACTGACCGAGAGCTTCCTCCCATCGACTCTTTCGTTTCCCAACTTCCCCTCATCTATACGATTCTTGGCATGGTTGTCTCACTACACCAACAAATTAATGCAAAGAGCTCGTAATTTCCGAACGCTTTGAAGCCAAAATGGAATCGGCTCCTAGTAGTAGTCCCAATGCCCAAGAGGAACTGAGACGACCAGAAATCGTGCCACCCAAAAAGATCTACCAACAAGAGGTTGCGACCGGCAAGGACTCGACAACCAGCAGGACAACGACGACAACTGCCACCGACAAAGAGTCAACAAGCAGTACGACAACAAAGACTTCTGAACAATCAGAACCAAGAGACGATGACCGTCACCAGACAACCTCTGAAGATGACAAAGAAATCTCGCCACCGACCTCTGAAGGTGAAGCAGATAGCTCGCCATCACTACCAGGAGAGGTCCGCAAAGCCGGGGCGGAAGAAGAGGATGACGAACTACCCTCCATCTCCAATCTACGAAATCCACAACTACAGCTGTTTTACATGCGCAAGTCCATTCAGTCCAAGACCCAAAGTGTCCTGACCATCATCAATGAAAGTGGTTCTCCTATGGATGTCTATTGGGTGTCACCTGAGACAGAACGGACTTTGTGGCTGCTGGAACGCATAGAACCTACAGATTTTTACCGAGACATCACCTTGCTGTATCATGAATATGAGGTTCGAGAGACTGGTGACTGTGATGATCCTGGTTCCAACATCAAGCCTGATGGGACAAAGGTAGAAGAAGACAACCATCAACCTGCCTGCCGACGAGTCAGATTTCGAGTGCCACATCCTGATGCAGAAGTTACCGTCACATCCCAGTACAAGGCCATGTACCTAGGTCAAGATATTTCCATTGCCTGGGAATCCTTGGTGCATGAAAAGGACAGCAATGATCCAGTTTCTGCAAAGATTTGGAAGGAATGCCATGATGAGAGTTTGCTTGCATTCACCAATGCCGGATCTCCCCTACAGAACAACAACACGCAATTCTTGCAATCATTACAACAGTGCGTTCATGTAGAAGTCTCACGAAAGATTCTCAAATCTCTATATCTTGTGCAGTTTGAGCCACCGTTGAGAAAACATATTGGAATGTACCATGAATTCTACGCCTGTCATGACCCCAGTAGCTCCACATCAGATCCTGTAAGGACTCTGATGTGGGACACCGACAAAGATCAAGCGCAGAGAAAAGTTCAAGTGCTCCTTGACTACCCCAAAGCCCAGGTCCATGTTGTTGATGATTTTCTGTCAGGTGATGAATGTGCTTTCATAGAAAGAACGCGCAAGGGCGAAATTGAGCACACCACAACATTTGAACCCACTGAACGAAGAGCAGGGCAAGCAACACTAAAGATACCGTGGGACGAGGAAAGTTCAGGAAATCCATTTGCTCGTGTTGGCCGCAGGATTTATGATTACACCAGTCTTGTACTTGGGACTAACATTTCTGAGGTCGGTCAGGAAGAGCCAATACTGATGCAATACCTCGGCAAGGCAATTCAAGGCACAGACCCTCCAGATTTGTACAGGACACATTGTGATGGTGCCTGCCATGGTGGTCCCTATCAAGCTGGAAACAGGATTGCCACCATGATTCTCTACTGGTGAGTACTTGCCCTCTCATATCATGACAACAGTTTGCATTACGCACTTGCAATATATCTGATTTTGGGCGCTCTTGCATGATGCAGCAAAGTGCCAGAAGCCGGGGGGGACACACACTTTCTAGCTGCTGGTATCCATGTCAAACCCAAGCCTGGCCGCGCCCTTTTCTTCAGCTATATAGATCCCAGAACCATGACTGCTGACTATGGTTTGACAGTACACAGTGGGTGCCCAGTGTACAAAGGGGAAAAACTTATTATTACACAATGGATTCGTGGTGGCATCGGCAGCCACAATATAGGTACGTCCAATGTCAAACTCTGGTACTGAAAGAATTCTGAGAATCCCAGTGTCCTCAACATTGTTTGCCAGATGGAAATGGGACTTCAGAGGAGCAGTTTCAAGCAAGGATTCCTGGCATGCTGGAAGGTGCAGCGGCTGTCTCAGAAAACCTTGTCAAGACTGTTGAGAACCCTGTGGACACAGATCTTCCTGCCAATGACAACCCATTACCGGCGCAACAAGCTCAAAAGGTACATGTTGCCTCTAACTACGAAGGGGGCCAGCTACCAAATCCCTCCAGTTTATCACATCCACAACTGCAAAAGTTCTACCGCAACAAAGCTCTTAGCTCAAATACCCAAAGTGTGCTAAGCATAATCAATGAGAGTGGTTCTTCTGTGGATGTGTACTGGGTTTCTCCAGAGAGGATGGAACGCAAGTTGTGTTTGCTGCAACGAGTAGAATCAACACAAAGTTACTTGGATATCACTTTGCTGTATCATGAAATTGAGGTTCGAGAGACTGGAGGCTGTGATGATCTTCATGCCAACATCAAGCCTGATGGGACAGAAAGGGAAGAAGACAACCAGGTACAAGCTTGTCAACGTGTCCGATTCAGAGTACCTCATACTGATGCAGAGGTTACCATCACACCCCAGTACAAGGCCCTGTACCAAGGCAAAGATATTTCCATTGACTGGGAATCCTTGGTGCATGAAAAGGGCAGCAGTGATCCAGTTTCTGCAAAGATTTGGAAGCAATGCCATGATGAAACTTTGCTAGCTTTTGGTGCTGCTGAGCAGTATGCTTGGGACAATAGCAAGCAAATCTTGCAATCTATAAGACACTGCATTGATGCTGAAGTAAGGGACAAGTTGCTGGGTTTTCAGGTTCTGATGGATCACCAAGACTCGGTCCGGCTTCGAATCGCTGGTTTATCAGAGGGCTATGCCTGCAATGATCCTGAACTCTCCACTTCTGATCCTGTGAGTTTGCAGCAATGGACAGATGTCAAAGATCAGATACAGCGAAGAGTGCAAGTGCTACTGGACCATCCTACTGCCAAGATCCATCTTGTGGATGACTTTGTCACAGATGATGAGTGTCATTTCATCGAGAGAACCCGCATGGGTCAATACCAATATGCTACTGTTGAAGACAAGGTAACTGGTGGGACCCAAATATCACAGGACCGAAAAGCTCGACAAGCACCACTATATATTCCTTGGAGCAAAGAAGATTCAGGAAACTACTTGGCTCGTGTTGGCCGCAGGATATATGATTACACCAATCATGTGCTTGGAACCAATATAACTGAGATTGGACAGGAGCAACCCACCTTGATCCAATACACAGGGCAGGGCTTGCATGATCGTGCACCCCCGGATCAATACAAAGTTCATTGTGATGGCCGCTGTCGTGGTGGTCCATTCCATCCTGGGACTCGAATTGCTACAATGCTTCTCTATTGGTATGTACCTCCTGTTTCGTTCGCTAGTTCTCCTTCACAGTTTACTGAAACGATCACATCTTTCTTTGTCTCCATGAATTCCAGCAAAGTCCCGAAGATTGGCGGTCACACTAACTTTGGGGCAGCTGGAGTTCATGTGGAGCCAAAAAAAGGCCATGGTGTTCTGTTTACGTATGCTGATCCCATAGCCATGGTCAATGACAATGGTCTTACAAGGCACAGCGGGTGTCCAGTCTATGAAGGTGAAAAGCTCATCATTACACAATGGATCCGGGGTGGCCTAGAGAATGGGAAGAGTTGGCAAAACTATGACAATGGTATGTGTTACCTTCCTTGGTTGTTATTGAAAGCATACCCATCATTCTAAGCAAGTCCAACTTCCTGTATTGTCAGATGGAAACGAGGTAGCAAACCAGCAGAACAAGGCAGCTATTTCTGGAATGCTACACGTTGTAGATCCTACGTCATAGATTACCTGCTCCGAGTTATGGATTGCTAGCTTTCATTGGATTCTGAGGGGGTCTGGGTTGGAGAAACTGGTGGAGTGGTGGTTGCACTGGTGCTTATAACCTTCGCCGGAATCGCGAGGGCTTTTCCATCCTTTCTGGCTTGGGGCATGCTCATTTCGATTGGAGTGCCGCTGCCTCATTTCTACGGAGAGTGGTCTTGGGGGTTTCGCATTGCAGATCCCCGTGATCTTGCAAACCAACCTGCTCACAATCACTAAGATTGATTGTCTCATGCTGACTGTCTTCGGTACTTGTGCATGCAGCCCCCGTCGAAACAGAAGAGGCAAGGGTATTCGGATGATGCTCTCCTCAATCAGCACTCTGTCATGTTGATGGTTCCGGATCACATTGACCATGACTCATCAATTATAAGGCCTAGTTGGAAGAGACGCTCTGTAGAGCCGCTATGCCAGGAACAGGACGTTCGAAAGAGTAGCCACCATTACCGCGTCACAGCTTCCGTACTTGGGGGAGGGGGGCTCGGAGCAGTTCTTACGTGCTCCGAAAACCACGGGGCTCGATCTTCTGATTACTTTCACATGGGAAGGACCTGTTGCGGTCCAAGAGGGTTGGTCATGTCGAATTCACTGCTTGAATGATTCAATCGTTCCTTCACGACGACAAAGTCGCAGTTCGACTAAAAGTTACATCACCATGGACTCCACTGAGAGATTGCGCTGCTGCCACCAAATCACCGCAACATCCATTCGACGAAGAAGGCACAATCGGCAGAGAGGCAAGCAACAGTAGTATCAACATTGTTTCATTAGTACGGTATTTACAAATTGTACGTCGGCTATACTAGTTCACTCTCCTCGCTTTTCTGCGAGCAGTCCTTCGATCATCCAATAGGCCATAAAGCTGTAGACGGTCCTCCAGGCTCGTTCAACCTCCCGTGTCATTTTCTGTTGCCCCAGAACCTCTTCCAGAGTGTGCAGCAAGGCCACACCCATAGGTGGCCAGTATTGTGGCAGGGCCGCCATGTGCAAGTAGTGAATGCGTCCAAGATCTTGCAGTTCCATTTCCAGCGGTTCCAGATCAGGTCCCATGAATTGCACGGCCTTGTTGACGCCGTTCATGAATCCCAATCCCTTGTTCAAGAAGCGATTGTGATTGGCATGATCCTCCAAATTATCCGGATCAAAGTCGACTGGAAAGCCCCACGCCGTCTTGATTTCAGGGGCCAGTTCAAAGAGCTCGCGCAGCACAATGGTCCCAGCGACACTCTGCCAGTTGGGAACGCTCGTGACGGCATCCCACGAATCCAAGACCAGTTGGACCGTTCGGTAGTCAATCGCCTCGGCCGGGACTCTTTCGTAAATGTTCACGTCGCCACCATCCTCCAGTTCTTGTTCGGAATAGACCGACGACGACGTAGTACTATAACTAGAGCAAGACGACCGACGGCTGATATCTTGCATTGCCGGTGGAGCTTCGTAGTTGCTGCTGCGTCGTCGCTGTGCCGCCTGGACAACCTGAGCCGCTTGCCACCGGTCCTTCTTCTCGGCCAGCAAGCCCTCAATCATCCAGTAGGACATAAAGTCGTAAATAATCTTCCAGGACGATTCCACAAACTCCGTGTACTGTCCCTTGCCCAATCCCATACGAAGGGTGTGAAAGAGCGCATCGCCCACCAAAGGCCAAAACTCGGGTTCGGCACCCATGTGAATGTGCCGTCGGCCCAGGGCAAAGAGTTCTTCTTCGAGTGGTTGCAAGTTGGGACCCAAAAAGGCAACGGCCTTGTCCACGGCCGACAAGAGAGTTGCTCCTTTGTGGATGAATTTGTCGCTCTTGGCAATGCTCTCGGTGATTGGTCCCGTGCCAAAGCCCCAAATCTGTTGCAGTTGTGGAGAAGTTTCAAACAGCCTGATGAAATCAATGAATGAAAAGAACAGAAAGTGAGTGGGTGCTACCTTGGAAGAATCGTAATCGAATCGTCATGAGCCCAACTCAAAATAACTTACCGTCGAAGAAAGATCTCTCCCGTCACTCGTTCCCAGTTGGGGATGGCAGTGACAAGATCCCAGGATTCCATGACTGTACAAGCCACGCTGAAGTCGATATCATCACAGGATACCTTTTGGTAAGGAGATTGCGGAGGAACGTAGGTTGTAGGAGAAAGGGAGGACATGGTGGAGATGTTTGAGGTTTATGGAAGTAGAGACTGGCAAAGTTGTGTGGAGGTGCCTTTGAAGAGTCAGTCGTAAAAAATTGTGAGCAGTGAGTTGGTTGTGAGAGCTGTTGAGCTGTTGTGATGAGCTATGCACAGTGATGAGCTTGTGCGTGACGGTCCACTCAGATCCAAAGGACTAACGTGACGTTGCAGTTGAAGATTGAAGGAAGGCTTCCAAAATTGTGCTACTGTGAACTACTCCAGAGTAGCAAAGACATAATATTTTTGCTGGAGAGAAACCGTACCACGTCAAAAGATGAGTCCGAGAGCAACATCAAATAAATAAATTTATATATTTAGTGGTACTGAGGTCATTCATTGTTCCAGCAAGTCTGAGTCAGAACCATGACGTTAAGTAGTAGCTATACAACTTCAAGATCAGGTGCGTCTAAGCTTTAATGTTTCAAAGCAACGAACTCGCCACGTATCCTAATGTCTTGGTTGCTGCGGATGTGTCAGTAGCAATAATTATTGGTGATGAACCACTGGATTCTTTCCGTTCAGAATGGAAGCCCTTGAGCTGCCTCCAGAACTCAAAGATTTAAAGCAAGTCATGGTTGAACAAGAAAGGCATCTTCCACTGGAGCACAGAGAACCATGAAGACATAAACTCTCCCGATAACTGCACCACCGCTAACTGCGGCTTGAAAGTCCGAGCTGCTGAGCTGGCTCTTGACATGCTATGGGTTACCGGTATGGGCTGCGAGACCACACTCAACAAGGAAGGAGAGTGCGTACGAGCGTACGAGCATCTGTAAGTGGTGCAATCTCTTTGGTTGCCACGGGATGCGTTTGTCGCCTGCTGCTCTGGTCGACAGATCTGTGGTCGGCGTCTAGTATCGGTACTGCTCCCGTTCCAGCAATCGTGTGAATTTTAGTGGTCTTCAATCCATAGTTCCAGCAGCATGCTTCCAAGGTTCACGTTCGTTGAGTCAGCAGCTGCAATGAGAAAGAAACACTGCAATGAATCGAATCGGTGAAGTTTCGTGTTGAACGGTGAAGTTCCTCTCCAAGCAGCCAGAGTAGTCAGCTTCCGATGACTGGCTGTACGATCTTGACGCTTCCAACACCCATCTGCTTCGAAGGTCGCTCAAGGGCTCCTGTCATGACTTGGCAACCCAACAGTCTTGCCTTTAGGTGCGGTAGTGGCTTTGGCGATTGGTTGCCTTGGCAGACCTTCGTGCCCTCTCCGGTATTTATGCCAGGTGGGTGAGCTGGTGAGCTTGCTTCGCCACCTGGCACCCCCGAACCAACCTGGAGGAACGCATGTCAACAATGGGGATGGCACAGTCGCAACTGCAGCCGCAGGCAACATCATTCAATGAGATACAGTAAGACCGAAGTTCTCTGGTGAAACAAGGTCAATCACATCTTCTTGGGTTGGGGACTCTTCTAAGAGGCTTTCAGCTTCATGGAACACTTACCTGATGGTATGTATGAGAACAGGGCAAGCTATGTAGCTAAAGGGGATTGAATCAGAAGTCTGCCTTGACTTGGCCATTCTCATCTTCTAGAACACAAAACAGCACGCTGAGCAAAGACCAAAAGTGTTGCACGACCGGAAAGTAAGAGATTGCTACTGTTCGACAACATGATCAGCAGCCAGCTGTCAAATGAAACTTCGCTCGTGTTGGTCTGACCCTAGAGCAACTCATTACTAGAGCGAGAGATAAAAAACACAGTCTCTGTGTAACGTACGCTGGTTTGGTCTATGAGAGATTACATGTCTATAGAAATGTACTTTGGTTACTGTCGCCTTCGCCTGGGAAGGATGAGTCATGCAGCCGGGCAGTTGACAGGCGAATCCGGATTCTTTGCCAGTGTGCCGCATGCGCAAGAAGGCTCCTGCAGGCGAGGAAACAGTTCGTTGTTTAGCGGATTTGGAGGTTTTGCAATGGTAGCTTGTGACAGTGCAGAACCTGAAGCGGTGCTTGCCGTAGTCAAAGCCGTTGAGCCGCTCATGTCACTGAATGGGTGCTTTTCATCGCCATTTACGATGCTGGACAATCTTCGGATAGGCCGAGGAGCCGATCGTGGCGACGGTCCTCTTCGAACAGTGCCGTGCGGACGAGGGGCAGTGGTGCGTCTGTGGGGAAAATGATGGGGCGGACCCGCTTCTGAAGATGAACCCGAGCATACAGAGTCAGCTCCAAGCGGTACACTTCCCTCACTATCACGTCTTCTGGGCTGTCGAGGCCCAAGCAAGGAGGTGTCATGATCAGTCGTTCGCTTACTGGAGAGACTGAGATCCCAGAGAAACGAGGAGGAGGAGGAGGTCTCCTTCGATACAGAGACCGAAAGCGACGATGTGTCCTTCAGCGAAATCGAAAGCTCGGACTCATCCTCTAGTAGACATGCAGTCGAGCATGCACTCTTGCGCCGTTTGGGGGCCCGTAGCAAGCTGTCAGAGCACTGATGCTGAAGATTCGGGAGAGGGGGTGGTTTGACCTCATCTTCGTTAGCTTCTTCAGGAATGGTTTCAAAGCATTCCATGCATGGAGGCATGGAATACCGGAGATGAAACTTATTTGAAGAATCATCCTCCATTCCCGAGGTGTCGTCTTGAAGGAGAACACCACCAACCTTCGGGGCACCTTCGATGCTGGCATCCATCTTCGTTTCTTCTTCATTTGTTCCTTCCTGATGTTCGGTTGCTTCCTTTGTACCTGTATCTGCCGTCAACGTGGCACCTTCACCGAATACCGGCTCTTCTGGCCTTGTCTCTCGCACTTGCTCGTTGTCTTGGGCTGTCTTCTCGCTCCTTTCATTCTCGCGTGTACGCTCGGTGATTTGACCTTGTGGTGTGTCCGATTGCTCAACGGAAGGCGTCTTGCTCTTCTTCGTCGAACGGCGACGAGGTCGACGTTTGGGAAGCTTAGGCTTGGTGGAAAGCTGATCAATCGAAGCGGCGCTCATGCTGTTCACAGTGAAGCTTGAAGAGGAGTTCCATCGACTGAGGGCTCCTCGCACGGGAAGGGGGGACCTCCTGGTGCTGCTTGTTTGAGAGAGGTCTGTAGACGAAGAGAGCGGCGACCTCGTTCCACCAGAGGCCCACGTTGCGTTCTTCTCGTGGCCTCCGTCATCAGGACTCACAACCTTGTGCGACCGACGTCGAAGAAGATCAGGAGCAGAATCTCGAGACTTGTGTCTGCGGCTTTGGGCCGGTGGGTGTCTCGGAGGTGAGGGCAGTATTGAGGGGTACGAGGCGCGGGGTGGGGCTGATGGGATTGCACCCCATCGAGCATTGTGTGAAGCGGGAGGCTCTTCAGTGGCACAGCGGCGGATGTTCTTGAGATCAGATAGTGAACTCCTTGGAGTACGTGGAGCGTGGTCCACTGTCGCGGAACGAAAGAGCGGGTTAGTTGGGGGCAGCGTTGCTGACCATCTGTTGCTTCCAGAGGACTCTTTGCTGGAATCAGCCGAACCTCGGGTATTACCGCTGATATCCAAAACCTCGTTAGAAATCTTCGGTCTGGACTTTTTGCAGGTCTTTGATGTCCATCTATCGTTGGCGTTGACCCCTTTGTCTTCCAGACTGCGTGACTTCCGCATGTTGGTCTTGGAGCCTGGCGGAGTGACGGTCAAATTCGTGAAGCTGGTTGTAGTTTCAGATATCCATCTGGCGTTGGCTGCTCCTGGTTCGTCGCTCTTGCTGTTGGTGAACTGGTCGATCTTGAGATCAGGACATGTGAGGTGACGACGATGCAGTTTGCTACTAGACATGTTGCGGAGGTTCTTTCGACTTGATCTCTGTTTTCGCTGGTAGAAAGAACATGCGGGGCGCTCCCTATCATCTCCCATCTTATGACTACTAAGGCTCTCGTCGTCGCTGTCATCTTCATCAAAGGAAGATGTGGACCCTAAGGAAGAAACTGAATCATTGTCTCTCAGGTCAAAGAACACTTCACGGTTGGTGAAGTCAACGGAAAGGTTGGATAGAGCCATGGTTGGTGGTTTTTGCATTAGTGAAGCAAACTGGTTTCAGAGTTATGAACAAAGATATGATGGTTGCAAATACCAGCAGTGGCTTTGCCCTCAACCGACTGAGGGTCTTTCACACTTTTATCGCTGTATGTGCAAGTTAGTCTGTACGTCTCTGTGTGTGCTGGTTAGTGTGTACGTCCGGCATAAAGGATGGGGTAAATAATAATTGTTAGTTGGTAAAATATACTCCGAGTACCAAACTATGTGTGTGTGCAAGTTAGTATGTACGTCCGCCATAAAGGATGGGGTAAATAATAATTGTTAGCAGGTAAAACATACTCCGAGTACCGGAGTATGTGTGCAAGTTAGTCTGTACGTCCGTCATAAAGGATGAGGTAAATATTAATTGTTAGCTGGTAAAACATACTCCGAGTACCAATGTGTGTGTTTTGGTTGGCTATCGATAGACTACAGTAGACTGTGTGTTCAGTTGAACACAGTGTTGGATTTGGCCAAAGAATCAAATCTCTTTTTTGACAGTTGAGGGCATCAGCCTTCGGCTGTCTGTTCTTCATTCTGCTTTCCATTCCCCACCTTCACTGGATGTGGCCTAAACTACGAATACCGGTATTACAAGGGAAATGGGTTTATCATTGCATGCGAACTCACTGGACCCAAGTTTGAAGCAGATCTACAGCAAAACAGCTGACGGCACAACTTGAACCTAAATGTGCGCTTTACTCCAGTGCTCGATGAGAAGTGGTGTAGATGAAGTTCAAGCTTCTTTGGCTACTGTGAATGCAAGGATGTTGAGGTAAGTAAACAAAGTTTTCATCAAATTAATTACCCCTTCACTACCACACTCTAATACACTTACTTGGTTCCCCATATCAATCACACAAATTCAGCTGAACCAGCAGTGGGGTGCCAGGTGCCAGAGTGTGCCAGTCTGCGTGCACGACTATTAGTACTAGCTACTAGCTACCTAGCTACCTAGGGTACCTGGTACCTGCTGTAGATGGGGAAGTGAACCTGGCTGGTTTCATTGCTTGTCGCCAAACAGGAACATAGAACGCTGAACGTTCATACTTTGCTTGAGGTGCAGTGTCATGCATTGAAACGTTGGGGGAGAATTGAACAGTACAGTTTTCCATAATGCGTGAATGTAAAGGAAAGAGGGGAGGTTGTGTCAAATGTGCAAAATACACTCCTTTTCGTTTCCATCCTCCAGAATTAGACAAGAAGAAGCCACATGATGCGGAGAATTAACAGGCCGAATTGGCTGAAGCAATGTTCGAAGATAAACCTCTGGGGTGGAACCGACTGCTGGGAGCCTTCCATCCGGTTTCTCACACCATACTGCCTGTCTTTTGTTACGGAGTGCAACCTGCAGGCTACAGAAGACCTATGGTACTTGCTATCGAAAAAGGCTGATGATAGAGGAAGGAGGTGTTGATAGAGAGGTTGCTATAGTGTTGTGTGTTACTACTTTACTACTTGGTGTGTTGTGGTTGATTTTGTAATCTGGAACTGGATAGTCATAAATCGCTACCAAGGTCATTTCGGTCCCCTCAAGCTAGAGGGGGATTATCTCACGCTAGATTGCACTTGGGAAACAGACTTCGGAAGTCTGAAACAGGATGTACCCTTGGGGCATGGCCCCTTGGAGGCTCAGACCTGCCGTTCACCAAACGGCCCACCCTTGTCATGTTGCCTTTTGCAGATTGTTAAGTAATAGTGACTTTCGAAACCATCGCTGCCTCACAGGCCCGTTCTGGATCTTCGTCAACATATCGGCCAAATTGCTCTCTGTGTTCTCATAAGTGATGTTTGCCATTCCTGCAGCGACTCTTTCACGGACATAGTGGTATGCGACCGAGTTGCTCTTTTTCTTCAAAGTAGACTCCGGGATGCTCGAGTTCTTGATCACGGACATGTTGTCCGCCTTGACATGAGCCGGGCCATCAAGGGGAACTCCCATCATCCTGAGCTTGTACCGCAAGCCCTCCACGATTCTCGATTCCAACCTTCATCGCACGCGAAACTCAGAAGTCCAAAGGAGGAATTGTTCAATGGAGCCCTGCTTTTGCTTACCAAATAATTGTGATCATGTTAGCAAAGACGAGATACCCAGTACGCGAACGACGTGTCACTTGTCCCCAGCATGTCATGAATCCACAAACATGGTTGAATTTGGATTGGTTTGCCAGGGGGCTCGGCATGTCTGGAGTGCAAAAGCTCTTTCGCATCGGACATAGGAAATCACTCCAGTCAGGTCGCCCTGGTTCCACATGATTCACCATAGGAAAGGATCAAAAAACACAGGTGAGAACGACTGTGCTGCCTGAGATATGCCAAGATATTAAACACAGCGTCCAGTTGCCCAACTCGTGGGGCTGCGCAGTACGAAGCCATGATTGAAACCTCGGTGCAGATGTCAATTCTCCCGAGTTCCACGGCCCATCGTAGCATTCCAATCTGCTGTTGAAAGTAATTTGTCCGCTCGTCATCACAAAGGTTTTAAACATCCAACTCCGGGGGGTAATTGCTCGGTAACACTGAAGTTGCTTTTGACTTGCGCGTCTTCCCACGTCGCTCGAGCAATGTCTCCACATTTCTGAAAGCTTCCTTGACATACTGTTCAGATCCTATTGACCAACATGGTTTGTCAACGACAGGGAGATTGTACTCCTTGACTGAAGCTCCAATATACTGAGTTGGCTTTCCCAGGGATCCTGGCTTCAGCAGGAAATGCTGATCCAGGTAGCAGAGTAAGGTATTTTGGTTAGTTGACAGGCAAATGAGATCGTCTGTGTATACACAGATATACTCATAGTATTCCCTTCCATCAGGCCTGGTGGCGGCACGAAACCAGACATCATTGTCTGCCTTACAAGAGGTGAACCCCAGGTTGTCTCGCAGAACATCAGCTAAGTGGGCCCTCCATGCTGCTCCACTTGATTTGAGGCCATACAGGGCCTTGACGACCTTTGCTTTGCGTCCCTCAAATGGGCCAAATTCCTTACCGCATGTGATAAGATCTTCTCTCGAACTGGGGCATTCAAATATGCGTTGCCAATATCAGCGGCCAATATGTCCAGATCGTTCGGGGGCATCCTCCTCCAAGATTTCAAAAGCTTTGCCGACGGCTGCCATCTCTTTCTTAATGGCATCATGCCAAAAGGTTGTACCAGTCTCCTTGTCAATCTCAAGGGCATGCTCCACCGTTTTGGGAAGCTCAACCCCATATTTCTGTTCCTTGCGAAAGTAACGCTTCGCAACAGCAGAGATAATCCGATTCCGCTTCTTGAGGGTGTAAGGGACCCACCAAGAGAAAGCTGGCTCTGACTCCAAGCCATTGTTCTGGGCATACTCTGCCGTCTGAATCAGGTAACCATCTTTCATGTCCTTAAGGGACTGCCATGAGGTGGTCCCATCCTCCCACTGGCCACAAGTTTTCCACCTCTGGGTGGCCGTCGCACAAGTCCTCCTGCCATTCCGATAGATGTTGGCGTCGTCCCCTGAAACAGCGTGTCCTTCCTTCGCAATGGTCCCCCAGGATATCCGCCAAAATTCAAACAAAAGTGTAGCCGTCAATCCAATACCATCCCACCTTTGAAGCCAAAAAATTGAGAAAAATTAGACTCTGCAAAATGAATGTTGGCCGATTAGGCCTCGGTCTCGCCGCTGTCAAACTCCACCTCATAAATGGAAGTATCAAGAAATGGGTTAGAATTCGAAAGGCCAATCAGTTTTCCATCTGAGTTCCTCTTGCGCTTGGTGACTGTGTCATAAGACATTTGGTCTCCCTGTGGGACACAAACAAAACACGAGTTGAATGTACTTATCGAAGGCTCTTGTTGCATCTCATCTAGCTTCTGACAACTCTGGCAGAGGAGTGGGTCTTATCATCAATTGGTCTCATAATACTCTGGTATCTTTCATCCTGACGAGATTCAGCATCACATCTGCTGGCCAAAACATAAAGCTTGCCAAGGGACTTCTTCAAGGGATTCTGTGAATGTGCCTTCTTGGATTCAATACCGGGCTCAGCTTCTCCTGGTCTGATAAGGGGATGACAATGTCCTAGAGACCAACTGTCCCTTCTCGGTGAGGATTTGGGCACACATAGCGTCCCGAATGTCAGTGCTGGGGCCACAGTAGCACCAAGGCGCTTCACTTTCCATTGACTCGCCCTTTCTCTCAGGAGAGAGGTACCAAACCAATCATACCATCCAAACTCACAAATATGTGAGATGTCAGCAGTGTCCCCATGTCAAAAGAGTAGCGGGAACTTGACCAACCAACTCTCGGACGGTAATGCGGTATGACTGCGAGTCAGCCCGAAGAAGACGAAACACATGTCCAAAGGCATTCCAAGCTATCAGTAGTCGTTCATTGTTCTTCTGTAAGTCTCTCTCAGCTCTCGGATTGGTCTCCGCGAGTTCTGGTTGGGTGTTGTAAGCCTCAATCTGGATGGATAGGGCACTGAATTCGTTGTGCTTTTCGTCGAACTCTCCCATGGTAAGCCTTCGCGTTGTCTGGGAACAGGACTCTTGGTATTCCAATCTCATGGAAAAGTGAATCTACAAATGTCAAGTGAGCCCTCCGACTTGGTCTTCATCGGGTCAACTGGCAACCAAAGAAACGTGTGCAGTAGACTTGGGCACACTTGTTTCCCAGGAGGGTAAGTTGACCTTGACGTAAACAGTGTTCGGTATACATTTCAACAGTTGAGCCGTGGATATCTGATTTGATACGTCCAATGGCTTCATCCTCCTTCCTCCACTCGCGTGGGTGTAAATCCGAACCGCTCGCTGATTTGTTTCGCGATGGTTTTCTTGGCTGCTTCCAACCCAATATTCCACCGCTTGCAAGTGCTTCCGCTGACACGGCTCCTTCCTGGTAGGGGGTTTCGTCTTGGTAGCAGAAATCTGGGCCTGAAGGGCTGGCCCAAGACTGTTGACGTCAATTGCAACGATGATCTTGATTCAGAATTGACTGATCGACTGAATTCTCCTATTCCGTCCCCTTTCACTTGGCATGTCCAGAATCCAAGCGGCTCTGAGAGAGGACTCGAGGCAGCCGACTGGGGATACTGAGGGTTCCAAGGAGATTCCGATGTCATGTGAAATGAACGAGATGATCTGGAGGATTGACTTCATGGTGCAGTGGGCTTCCGAACTGGAAGTATGAGATAACAACGTCCAGTTGGAGTGGGATTCGTAGGTCAACACAAATGATGGAGTGGGATTTCATTGGTCTCTGTCTTCCAACGGTAGGTGACAACAGTGGCACATCGTTGACAAACTAACTGGTGATGTCGCAGCTGAGCTGGACAAATGAGATTGTTCTGTAATGACTTGATAAGCAAGGATTGATGAAAGAATAAAATATAAATTTGAGATGTGAGTGGTCGTCATAAGCCACAGCCACATTACAATTGGTACTTCGTGTATGGTTCCAAATCAGTTGAAAACCCTTCGACGGATATAGTCTCCTCTCGTGTCATGTACCACGAAGCACTTTCCCCCAAGGAACATGTATCGGCATGGCTTCAAGCTCAATCCGAGATGATGCAAATGAGTAGCAACAGGATCGCAGAGTGCGAACACCGAGAGACTCATGCTCGCCGATTCATGGCATTGCCTACGCTAGATCACCAGGAACATCAGTCCGGGATCGCTTCTCGGCTTGCAATTCCGAGACTTGGGCTGGGTATCTGCAACTGTGTCTGCAGCTCGGCAATCTTCCGCTTGTCACCATCGCGGGCGTCCCTAGCCTGTTGCTGCTGCGCCGATGTGAGTGAGCACACTCATCGGGATGGTAATAACTCTCCTGGGTTATTGGGGCAAAACCCCGCGCCTTCATCGCCTCTACCACAGGCCTCGCCCCTGCCTCGCGCCTCTTACCATAGCCTCGGCCTGTGGGACCTACCACCGCCACCCTCGTGTCCGTCTTCCACCACCCGCCTCGCCACACGGCCAGACACAGATAAATATTTCTGTGGGTCGTGTGGGTTCAGCGACAACAATTGCTCGGCTAGAGTAATTCATAGCCTTCCTGTGAAACTCTCGCGTAGATGCTGGTGTGCTTGAATGACGGCTTGGCGGTCTTGGGTTTGGGTCTGTAATGCCGTAAGAAGCTTGCGAATCTTGGGCTCTCAGTAAAGGTTTAACCAGCGGTTTCCAGATCGTGAAGGCCTTGGTAAGCCTTTCACAGTAGCGCTCAAAAGGAAGTTGGGGCTTCCCATCAAAGAAAGTATTTCAATGGCTCTATCCGCGAATGCCTTGGTACAAGCCTGGAACGAATCACCAAGATAGTGAACCTTCATGGCCAAGTAGCTGCTCGACCGTTCTGTTGCGCTGCACAACGTTGGACCCATGTCCAACCAGGTCCACCGTGAGTAACCGACCGAAAGATGGCCCAAACAGCCTGATTGTCTTGTACGAAATGAGGTCCGGCATGTTTGTTCTTCGGACCAATTCTTCAGGATGCGATGGAAGGCCAAAACCTGGGTCAGCCTCTCTGCGGTGTCGGTATCAAGTGCTCCTGGCAAGTGACTTTGGATCTCGTAACATAAGCCAGGGGGGCACCGCAAAGCCTCGCTTGACATTCAGAACATTGTCATAGACTCAGAACTCGTCGGACATCTTCGACCTTCAAGAGTTGGGGAGGATTCCGCAACATCAATCTCTTCTCGTTCGGACTCGTATAAAGCCCAAACTCTATTTAATCTCGCCAAATGCTTGTTGGGAGTGACTCACGCTGGATTCGTGTCATGTGAAACTTGTAGAACGTAGTTGTCTGAGTCGCTTCTCAAAGACAAATCCCAGCTGTCGTCCACGGTTGGGAACTTCTCTGGGCTGAACTGCTGCGGCAGTCTTCGGCAGTGGCTGCAGTCGCAATGGCTGGATTGGGAATGGTACCACCTACCTGGTTTCCTCACTTCTCGCAGATGCTCTTGATATCAGCATCGGTAAAGGTATCGAGTGAGACGAAGGCATCCAATCCTTGATCATTCAATGCTGTCCTCGTGGCTAATTCGGCATACCGATGGTATTCTGTAGATAGTTGTTCATGGCTGCAAGATTGCCTGCCATATTCGCCTCCAATTACTTCTTCTCTTGCGGTATCACTTGGATGAGCAACAGTTGTTGGGTCTTCTTCTCTGCTCCTATTCCAACAGCAAACTGTACACACCCAGACAAGTAAGGCTGTATTCCACGGAATGAGCTCTGCACACCCAGTCTGTGGCAGTCTAGGCCAAAACTCTTGGATCAGGCGTCCCCTCTCCTTTGGCTCAATCGATTTCTTTGGTGACAATGAGGCAGGAATTGATCCAGACTGGAGGGATCAATATTCCAAGTCCAAACCTCTGCTTCCCACTTGGAAGTCTCTATCTCTCGCTCCACTTGAGAGTGCCCCTTCTTCTTGAGAGGTCTTCTGTTGCTATGCCGCTTGGAGGTCTTCTCTTCTTCTCTTGTTCTCTCGCCGATTACACTGCAATGAGGATCTCTTCTTGTCGTTTGTACTCCGAAACGGTAGCTTCGAATCGCGACAATGGCGCTGCTTCGATGAATGAACGACTCCTGGTTAACAGGCTCCTTCTTCTTCTTCTTTCTTCTCGATCACGACGACAATGGGATATGACCGTCGCTTCGAACGAACGGTAGCGTCGCGTCGAGTTCGAACGGAGCTTCGACGGTAGCTTCGAACGGTAGTTGCTTCGAACGGTATCTTCGCCGAAAGGTAACTTCGGCAATGGTAGCTTCGGCAATGGCGTTGCTTCGAAGAACGGACGAACGACTCCTTCTTCTTCTTCTGCAACGATCGGTCTTCTTCTTATCTCTTCTTCTTCTCTCTTCTCGATCACGACAAACGGACGACAATGGCGCTCGAACGAACGAACGAACCGTACGTCGCGTCGTCTTCTTTCGTCTTGTCGAACGACGATCGCTTGTTTTGCTAGTAGCTTCCACGCCTGATAAGCCGAAAAAGGCTGATGATAGAGGAAGGAGGTGTTGATAGAGAGGTTGCTATAGTGTTGTGTGTTACTACTTGGTTGTTGTGGTTGATTTTAGTAATCTGGTAACTGGATAGTCATAAATCGCTACCACAGGTCATTTTCGCTATTGGCTACTCTGTGGCTGGAGGTCTCCGCTGCAGCCTACCGGTTCTGCATTCCGCTTATTAGTACCGGGTTATCCCACCGGTTGCCAGTTCGTTTGCACTTCACTGTATGCGACACTTCAGTCCGCCGGCGCCAAGCTTTCACCCATCTTTTCTGATGAGACAGGCAGTGCTTTCAAGACAAGGGTGGCTCTCTAGATTCCTCTAGTGTTCTTCATCGTGAAACGATACAACCCGTTTTGCCTCAGGCTGGCGAACTCTATTAGCTGGAGAGGTCAGCAACGTACCATCGGTTTGGAATTATGGTATTGGCCTCTTCGGTTCATCCAGTGGCTTCGCTCCCTCAGTTGCCGAAATGAAGGGCTGCACCAAGAGGACCAGAGCAGCCTATGCACAGTACTAGTTCTGTTCCTCGAGGCTTTTCAGCGAATGTTTTCCCGAGGGCGAAGTAGAACTCCACCAAGAAACGGGCGGTTGGCTGGAAAGCCTCCACCTAGCGGATCGCGACAAACCACTGCCGCTACACTCAGAGTACTAGCTTACTAGGCAGACAAGCACCAACCAGGGGGGCAGACCTACATCCTCACTCTGCTTGCCTGGAATCTGGGGCTTGCCGAAAGACCTACATGCTGTTACTTACTCTCATTGTCTGGACCCTGGACCCTGGGCCCTGCCCTTACACAGAGGGCTGCATACCGCAGCAGTAGTCGCTCTACAAGCCACTACAGCAGCCACTCTGCTTGTCTGGAGCCTTTTGAACTAAGCTGGAGGCTGGAGCCTGCTTGAGGCTGGAGCCGGCTTGTCGAAGCTGGAGGCTGGAGCCTGCATGACGAGCTGGAGGCTGGAGCCTGCTTGACGAAGCTGGGGCGAGAGGTTGGATTTTGGACTTTGCTACAAAGGTTACATCCCTTCGTTTTGTAGATTTCAAATCTTTATCTTAGTATGACTGCTTGTATGGATGTGCCAATCAATGGCTACCCTGGATGGTTATTTTGACGCAGAAAAATTTTCAAGGAAGGTTCCATTGTTGGAGCATTTCCGTGCTTCGTAAACCTTCTCATTGATTGTAAAGAAGAACCTACGAGATCCATCCCTTCGTCCTGGGATCTGTTACTAGAAGTCTATAGAGTCAGATTATTCTACAATTCTTCCCACTGCAGTCATCGAACTCTCCTTCCTTCGCCCTTCGCTCTTAGTTCTAGCATTTTATGATGCGTCGAAAGAGTACTCTGGCGACTCCCTGTCTTGTGCTAGATCCCTTCGAATTCCCACCTCTCCGAGCGATCATCGTGCGTCATCATCGAAATGAGCCTTTTGGAACTCCCGAGACTTGAGCTCAAAGCTGCCCTATGCATAGTAGCCAGCCATTTAGCTAGTATGCGATGTAGATGGTGGCTGGGTAGTTTCGATCCCAGTTGCTGATGTCTGGAGTTGAAAGAAGCCGAGGATTTCTTTTCAGCCACCAACACTTATGGGCAACCAACGCGAAGACGAAGAAGAAGCTGGAGTCATCTACCACGAAGAAGATCCTCTCAAGCCGCCCGAGGATTTGCCGGAGGACGAGCCAAATACTGCTAGTAGCGATGGCAACGATAAGAGAAGGAATCGCCTGCTGTGGGGAGGAGGGATCGTCTTAATCGCAGTACTGGTTGTCAGCATTGTATTGGCGGTCGTCTTTGGCACGAGGGGTGAGAGCCAACAAGACACTACTGGAAGCACGAACCAAGAAGCAACTCAGACTGCCCCTACTACCGACCCTGCGTCTACCAACCAAACAGCTGTCATAGACGTCGACAACAGCACATCACAGTATTTGTTCTATGTGAGTGTTGCGGATTTGGCAAGCAATGCAACGGAGGACGACGTGATATCTGCAGTCGTGGACACATTCCAAGCATCCTTTTCTACCGAGGCACTGCAGCTGGATGAACCGATTGTGCTGCTCAATATTACAGCAAGAGAATATTATAGTGATGAGACTCTTTCGACTGATTTTCCGTATCGCAGACTTCAGCAATCCAACCAAACTACTGATGCCGTAACCAGGACCTTTGCTGTTCAGATGACCACAGAAACCAATGGGGCGGAAGGAGAAGAAGAATGGAGCTCTCCAGCAGTGCCGGATCTCCTTCAAAGCGAGTCGTTTCGATCTAGATGGAATGAGGAGCTACTTATTTCATCTTCTGCTGTTTATTTGACAATTCAGGCCGTGCAAGGCGTTACCCGCGTGCGTGCTGCTGACGACAGCCCCGACCATCCTTTGCCACCTCCAGAATGCCTCTCCATCCTACAAACCAACAGATGGTGCACCAAAAATATTGAAACGTACACATGGACGACACTCTGGAACCAAACCTACTGGGGCTTTGAACTACTTATTATGCCCCAAAACCAAACGTCGGATGTACTACAATGGTGCTTGGACAGACTAGACCACAACTCCTGTCCCTTTGTGACAACAAACAGAACGACAACACAAGAGCTCGTTCTGGACGAGTCAACCGTGTATCATGGCGTCGAACCACTCTTCCCCTGTGCGTGGGCTAGAGACGACAAATGCAAGTACATTATGAATGCCCTGGATCCGGTCCTGAGCAATAGAACCCGTGCCATTCTGGAGGAACAATTTCGAACTTGTCAGGGCCGAGCCTTGCATCTCTTGCGCAGTTCCGTCAATGTCACAACCTTCCCTGTGGCTCGTTTGAGGCAACGCTTTGCTTTGGCTGTGTTGGACTGTCAGAGCTACAACACCAGTCAGCATTGGAAAAACACTAGAAAAGATCTCATTACCGCACAGCACGAATGCAATTGGTACAACCGCGAGGATGATGAAGAGCTGACCGACGTAAGAGGTGGTCTCTTTGTGAGTCAGAGGCTCTGCACGGGACAGCTGGTAAAGCGGCTGAATCTGCCCGCACTGCAATTGTGCCCTTTTCACCTCAGAGTGCTACCCCCCGAGGTGGCAATGATCTCAAGGCTTCGTCAGCTCAACTTTAGCCATTGCAACTACTACTTCGGAAAGATCCCAGAGGAATACAGTCAGCTGACCAAGCTTACGATTCTTGACCTGTCACACAACCGACTGAACAACGTCATCCCCGACTTTGTCTGGCGGGACTATCGGATCCTGAAGCACCTGGACCTGAGCCACAACGGCGTGGGCATGGGGTTGACGACGAACCAGATGATGGGGCGCCGCGCGCCCCTTCGGGGACGAATTCCCGACGATATCAATCTCCATTTGCCCCATCTGGAGACATTACGTCTTGCGGGCAACGCCATCTCGGGGACAATCCCAGGAGAGGCCTTGGCGTTTCTGGAGCTCAAGACTCTGGATCTCAGCAACAACGAAATGACAGGGACCATACCATCATTACTCAATGCTCTGCGCTTGCAAGAGCTCTTTCTCCATGGCAACGATTTTAATGGGACATTTCCGGTGCTGACATTTGCCATGGTGGGCGCAGCACCCGTTCTACGCAATGTAACCATTCACGACACGTTGATCACAGGAGACATCAACGAAATGTGTCCCAAGTTTATCCACGAGGATCTAGTGCATCTCGAGGTCGATCCCAGGAAGGTGGCATGTGATTGCTGCCAGTGGCCTCCCCTCCCCTGTTCCTACCATGTGGAGCGCTGGTGGAATGACCCCAGTGCCAATCCAGGATACCGTCCAACACCGGCCACCGACGCAAAGGTATCTTGTGGAGGGCACTTTGCAGACTCTTGTGCCAATTGCCCCCAAGGGAATGGAGCTGCATGGTGTAACGGGGAATGTGAATGGACGAATGATCTGTGTCAGCCAAAGCAGGTCTCTTGTGGAGGGCACTCTGCTGACTCTTGTGCCAATTGCCCGCCCCAAGGGAATGGAGCTGCTTGGTGCAATGGGGAATGTGAATGGGTGAATGATCAGTGTCAGCCAAAGAAAGTTGCCCATGCGGAGGTCTCTTGTGGAGGGCACTCTGCTGAGTCTTGTGCCGATTGCCCACAAGGGAATGGAGCTGCTTGGTGCAACGGGGAATGTGCATGGGCGAATGATGAGTGTCAGCCAAAGCAAGTTGCCCACGCGGAGGTCTCTTGTGGAGGGCACTCTGCTGAGTCTTGTGCCGATTGTCCGCAAGGGAATGGAGCTGCTTGGTGCAACGGCGAATGCGAATGGGCAAATGATCTGTGTCAGCCAAAGCAGGTCTCTTGTGGAGGGCACTCTGCAGACTCTTGTGCCAGTTGCCCCCAAGGGAATGGAGGAGCTGAATGGTGCAACGGGGAATGTGAATGGTCGAATGATCAGTGTCAGCCAAAGCAGGTCTCTTGTGGAGGGCACTTTGCAGACTCTTGTGCCGATTGCCCACAAGGGAATGGAGCTGCATGGTGCAATGGGAAATGTGAATGGGTGAATGATCAGTGTCAGCCAAAGCAGGCTGTGCGCGGCCCAGCCATCACGGCGATCACCTCCGTGCTCGCTGACTTTCAGGTGAATCAGAGAACAGCACTGGCGTATCTCTACTGTGCCACAAACGGCAAAGATTGGCACACAGGGTCCGTGAGTCCGGAAGGGCCAGGAAAATTTGCAGAGTGGATGAAATCTACAAGCGTATGTTCTTGGCACGGAGTCGAGTGCTTTGAACGACATGTGTTTGCCGTGGATCTCGATAGCAACAATCTTGTAGGCTATCTGCCGTCTCAGCTCTCGACGCTTCCGTACCTGAAACGTTTGTTGCTGGGCAACAATAGCCTCCACGACAGCATCCCACTGGAATATCAAGAGCTTGGCAACGTCACAGAGCTGGACTTGTCCCGCAATAGACTAACGGGAACAATTGCTCCCTACTGGTTTACGTCCATGCCACGCCTGCGGGATCTGGGCTTGGGCAACAACCAGTTTTCTGGAAAGTTCATTCCAGAAGAGATTGGACGGGCCACCAAATTGGAGTATCTGCGATTGGAAGGCAACGACATGACTGGGACGATTGTCTCCGAGTTTGGTTTGTTGACGCGTCTGCGGGTTTTGAGTTTGGCCAGGAACAATTTTGAGGGAACCATACCAACGTTTGTGGGCAGAATGCAATCGCTGGAACGGATTGCGGCCGCCGTGGTAACGTTCAACGGCACACTCCCCTCAGAATTAGGTCTCCTGACGGCCCTCCGGGTCATGGATTTCTCCACCAACCATCTATCCGGGAGCATCCCGTCACAACTAGAGGCACTCACCGATATGCAACTCCTGGCTTTGAATGGCAATGAAAAAATGAGAGGGACCATTCCATGGGGAGTCTGTCGCCTCAGGAATGCCAGTCTCATTGGATTCCATGTGGACTGTCCTCAAAATTGGGGACTAGGAGTGGGTTATTTTCTGCCCAACAAAGCGACGATGCACGCATTTGAGGGCAACTGTTATACTCACTGCAACTTTCCCGGGGGTTACTACTTCAATGGAACCCTTTTCTATTACGATGGCACCAGCACTCCTCTCTGGTAGACTACTAATGCTTGCTTCTGGCTGGTTTCCATGAGTACAGGCTGGCGTCCCCTCAGGCTGGATCGCGACAGAAGCACCTGGGTCGGTACAGGTACCGGTGCGTCACAGTAGCTAGCTAGCTCTTTAGAAGCACCTTTTCACTCGTTTATCATCTTGCGTGATACATACCGTGACCGTGAAGGCCTGTTTCGGGACGTTAGTCTAGACTAGTTTCCGAAGTCAAGTAAATTGCTTGCCACAAGCAAAGCACAGAGAGAGAACCATGAACCATGTAGACTATGTGGCCATGTCATGTGGAGAGATAGATAGTCTAGCCTGGGCGTTCCTGGAAGCTGGGCAGTCGAGTCAACCCAGGCTGATGAAGGCTGAAGAAGCTGAAATAAATGGCCATTTGCTTTTTGAAAAGGTAGCCCGTTTTAACTTACTTACAATAGCCACACACACGCGGCGCAAAGCAGACTGGTGGCAGGTCATTCAGAAGCCTGCATTATTGCTCTGTCGACGCAATGCCAGAACTCCCAAGCTAGAATTTTAAAATTGAGCTTCGGTCGAGTATATGAAATATGCTGAAAAGATGTTCAGCGACCTAGCTAGGCTGGCTAGAGTAGCTTTTGATAGACGAGGTGGGGAAGAGCTAAATGGTTTGGAATGGCATGATTCGTTCTTTGTAGTATAGACAAAAGTTATATATATATATATATATATCGTATGTGCAAATGCGGTGGCATCATCGTGATGAAAGCAGGGTTGAATTGGATGAGAAAAGGAGGAGGAGGAGGAAGTGCTTGTTTAGGCTGCCGGAGCGGCGCACTCTTGATAGGCTGGAAAGACAAAGGCGGTCGTTTGGAAAAAGCAGAGGTCTTCTTCCGTAATGCTCGGTGTCGATGAAGATAATCGTTGCACAAACCGATGCAGCATGGAGAGGCAGGCAGAGGACCCTTGGTGGTCTACCCGCGCCGCGAAAATGTGTCCCAGATTGTTGCACACGGCCATGAGTGCGACCGAGTCTTGGAGGGACTGTTGGCACATGGATGCCAGATTCATGGCATTGCGGTAAAAGTCGAGTGCCGTTGCTTGCGAAGTAGAGCAGGCGCCCTTGAGGAGCGACCAGATATGAAACGTCAAGCCCATGTTGTACATGACCACCAGCGCAATCTTGGCCGTCTCGTCGCAACTTGATGATGAGGATGGCGACAAGGGAGCCGACAGACGAAAGACGAGGGCGCGGTTGAAAAAGGTAAAGACACCAGAGATGGTATTGCTGCGCATGGTCTTGTGATTGGAGTAACCATTCAACGCAAGACTCTCAATCAAAAGAGGACTTGCAGCGGAGGTTGCTTCTTGGGGTTGTGCTTGGTTATGCTGAAGGTACTTGAGCTCTTGCAGAGCACTCTTCAGGATGGAGTGAGCTTTTTGGAGCTGTCCTTGGCGGAGGGCATCCACCGCCATGTTGTTGCATTGAAGGATTGAGAGACTCATGGTGTGTGGTTTTCGTGGTTTTTGTAGAGTCTTTTACAGTGAGAGCTTGACTTGGAACTGGGAGAGTGATAACTTTCTCGGCTGCTGAATTAATTGTGAGAAGCTGAAAGTGGATGGAGTGGGAAAGCTCCCGAATGAAGCAAAGAAGAAGCAAAGCGGAGAGCTTAGCGGAGCCTCATGACCAGCAGGATACATACATACAACCATCACTCACTTGACCATTAGGAAAGCGGGAGCAGAAAGTTCCTGGTTGAAAAGAAGACTTGCAGAGAGCTTTGCATAAGTCAATATGCAAGGTAAATCTTGGCTGCCTTACATGTCCCCTGCTGGTATTCTCTAAATCTTTCTAGGTTCACCAAGAGTGCACATAAGATGAGTACACGCACCATGCTAGGATTAATTTTGACCGTTTGACCAGCTAGCTGTTTGACCATTGATGTCGCTGCTAGATTCTAGTTTAGCTACTGTAATAGTACTAGCTAGCTGTACGTAGAAGTACATGACAATGTTGTTACAATGTCATGTACGGCTGTACCCGTGCGTGAGGAGTAACCTGTACTCGGAGAGAGCACAAAACCTAATATTAAGAAGTATTCAATTTGAAGGTAATAGTAGCGGTACTGGGGTATTGGTTGGTTGCATGGTTTTGGCAGGGTTGGGTAACATACCGGTACAATGCCGGATGCCGGAGAAGAGCGCACTGGGGCTTTCTTACCCCACTACTCGTTTTCTTTCTATTTCATTATACCAGTAGAAGACTTCTTACTAAAAGCTATTAGATCAAACAGGTTAGTATTTGTATCTATAGTACTACACCCACTGCACATGGGCCTTGGGTCAAACTCGCTCAGGACTCGTAATTGGTTTGGATGAAATATAGATAGCAATTTAGGCACAGGTTTGGAGCATTTTCATGGTGTCAGTCTCTACCGGTAGAGTGGTATTTCTTGCATTTTGAGGTCTCAATACGTACTGGGAAGTTTCTTACCAGTCTTGATATTTCAACACCATCAAGAGATTCTTTAAGTAGTTTCTTAAATTCAGGTTTGGAGTGTAGATAGTTGAGTGTTCTCCTAGTCCCAGTATTATTGTTTCTGGCAGCAATAAGAAGATAAATGAAGTTAACAGCATGTTTACAATTGCCATGAAAGATTTAAAAAGGTGTACACAGAACTCCTACGATTGATTTCCAGTCAACGGAAACCAAAAGGAAGGGTACCGAAGAGCTCAACTTTTCTTCAAGATGGAGTTAGGAGAGGTGCCTTCCAATCATTGCTATTCAAGGTCTCTAGTTTCTGATGCAGAAACTCTCTATTTCCTTGCCCTCTGTGGGTTCTCCAGCTGGACCGCAAGAGTTTGGCCATTCAAGCTCTCTGGCAATTGAGGACACGCTTGGGGATCTCTCCATAGCCAATTTAGTACAAAGTTAACTGGATAGGTCGCTGGTACCAGCTTGAAAAATTCTTCAGTCGCCCAATCGCCCTAGCCTATCTATCTCTTCTATCACTTACTTCAATCATCAATAGCTCTTCAATTACATATACAGCTAATTATCCACGTTTGCAGAGCTTCCTTTGGCTTCGATGAGCCAGCTAAACTCCACTTCACCATTCATCATTACCAGTAACTGTTCACCTAAACTTCAGATTAATTAAATTGTATTTACACAATGTTGCGCCACAACGCATCCACCCACAACCACAACAACAAGCTGATTTGAAGGCGTGAAGGCCTGCAATCTGCTGTCAATCATGAGTACGAGTACAATAATTGTGACCAGAGCTCTGATCAGCTACGACTGTACTGAATGACGACCCAATACCCAATACGGTACAGAAAGCAGAGAACCATGTGTGCGGACAGTTCACGTACAGCTACCGGTATGTACAAGTCTCTAACGAATTATGAATAAAGGTCTTCATGGGCCACACGGCCACACCAAAATAGTATCAGATTCGATTCTGACCAAGTACTACTAGTAGCGCGACTCGAGGGCTGAGATGCTGAGACGCCGAGACATCTGGGACTTACTCTGGACTTGCTCAGAGCAAAGCTTTCTGAGAGATGCTTTGCAGTTTACGGCTCGATCATTGGTATTTATTGGATAAGTCAATACTCGATCACTTCCTCTTTGCGTGGGAACTCGGCAGTCGGTAGTAGCATCATTCTTCGCAAGTTTCATGGCAACTATGAACTAGAAACATGGACTGCAAATCTGCTGCAGTCACAGTTTAGGCTACAATAGTCTGGCCATCTTTGTGCTCGCAGCAGCTTCCTTTTGCTTCGATGAGCCAGCTAAACTTAACTTGTGTTCACCATTCACCATTACCAGTAACTGTTCACCTGAACTTCAGGTTTCAGGTGCTGATGAGCTGGCCTCCATCCACCATCCATCCGCTTGCAACAACTATAATTGCTACTCCAGGCTCCAGGTACTAGTACTCAGTAGAGCTGAAGACCTGCCAACTGCAGAAATTAAATCCTCTGTTTACTGACCTGACGTTTGGACGTTTGGACCTTCGACCAGCTACCAGGTACTGAATGACCGCTGTCCAAAACGGTACAGGCTGTTGTGATTGGCAACCTCTTTCTGGGAACCAGAGAGTAGAGCGAGGGAATGCGGACAGTTCACGTCCAGCTACACGTACACAATGAAGAAAGGTCTTCTTCGAGAGCCACGCCTTTACGTGTATAAAAATCAGATCTAAGTGGCGCGACTGTCGCTCACTCGAGGGTTGAGACGCCGAGACACCGGAGACTTACTCTGGACTTGCTAAGCTGCTGTTTGAGAGTCTTGTTTGAGATGATGCTTTGCAGTAGCTTTTGAAGTTTACGGCTCGATCATTGGCATAAGTCAATACTTGATCATTTCCCCTTTTGCGTGGCAACTCGGCAAATCTACAGTACCGATACAAATGGCAACTGCTCCATCATTCTTCGATAATGCCAGTTTGCATGGCAACTATGAATAGAAACATGGTCTGCAACTCTGCTGCGGTCACAGTTTAGGCTACAATGGTTTGGGCACCTTTCTGCTGCAACCACAGTAGATTGTGCTACAATGCTACAATCGTTGGGCCAGCTCCATCGCGGGATCGCAACTGGGAGTCGCAGTACGGAGGGCAAGACTCGTATCAATAAAACCATGTCAACCATAATTCAATAAGACTGCGATTTAGTATAGATAGCGAGCCACAAGGCTCAGGAGGGGCGATACTCTGAGAGGATCCTGGCAGCACATGATGCGATCATGATCAGGCCCAAGTAGCCGGCGACCACCCTACTAGCTAGCTGGTTGCGAGCTTGGTTCGCTCTGTCAGCCCACTGGGGCTGAAACATCCGGCGTCGTTGGTTCCATTCATGCCAATACAGTAGCTACTTCGTGTGCCTATAGTCAACGGTTTCGGTACTGTCTGGTTGGTTGACTTTCTGCAGCCAGTGTTCGTGGCTCGAATACTATTAATACCACCGGCCAACACGAGAAGCCGAAGGCTCGTGGAACATGAGTTGCCATCGAGTCGAGTCGAGTCCCAGACATTGGTGGCACCGGCTCTCGTCCTTATTCACTTCTATCGGCACACAGAGATCTGACAGCCACTGGCCCCGAACCGAAACTTCGGGCTTCCTTGGTCCCATTCATGCCCATGCCTCGCCAACCATCTGTGTGACTTGCTGCGGTGGCGTTCGGGGCTTGGTCGCGTGCGATCGCCCAACAGTAGGATCCGAAGGTTGGTGGAACATGACTTGCCGTCGGATTGATTCGATTCGAGTTATGCCACAGTCCAGTATTGGCGGCACTGGCTCTCGCTTACTCACTCACATACTCAATCACACACACACAGATATATGGTCGCCACAAGGACACTCGACGCGGTCACAGTCCACTGTGATGGCATCTTCCATCGTAATGGTCCAGTCGGACTCATTGTTGTAAAGATTGCCCGGGATGGTTCCCACGAGGTTGGTATCGTAAAGGCCCAGTTGTGAAAGGTTCGTGAGATTGCCCAGTGAGCTTGGGATTGTGCCTCGCAGTTGGCTGTTGCCCCACAGGAGCAGTTTCTCCAAGGCCGTGAGCCGCCCCAACTCGGACGGCACCAAACCGTGAAAGTGATTATCTCGCAACGACAAAAGTGCAAAATGGATTGTTCAGTTTGGTCAAGAGCCCCCAGTTCCGTCGGCAATGGTCCCGACAATCGATCATTTTCTTTCCATTCCAAATGCGAATAGGTCGGTCAGCAAGAGACACTTCGACCGGAATGGTACCATTTAATCCATGTCGCTTGAGATTGATTTCTCTGATTCGTCCGTCCCAAGTGCAATCGTCGGTGTCATTGAGCCACTGACATACGTGTTGCAACCAATATCTTCCGATCGACCCCTTGGCGTGCCCTAGTTGTGTGGCAAAGTAGATTTTATGTAACCATTGCAAACGGTTGAATCCTTTTCCAATCCTCCATGGTGCCGTAATTGGGATGACCAAACAGCCACTCGAGTGCCTGGGACTGGGGTGATTCGACGTCCTGAAGTGATGCCATTGTGGCATTTGGCAATGCCGCAAAGAACGGGGAGGTCATCTCGTCGACAGTGGATGATGATGATTCGGTCACGACGGACGACTCGTTGCCATTTGGAAGGACGACCACCCCCACCACAATGGCCACCAGAGCGGCGACTAAAATGACAATGACGACGGTCATGACGCAAAACGTGCGGTGCCGCGCCGCATCATCCACCTTGACGGCGACAATGGGTGATGGAGCTTGCTCCGTAGTAGAGTCGCCGCCATGAGACGCTTCTTCCTGGTCTTCGTCAACTCGAGTGGCATCAACAAGGTAAGCATCCAAAAACGCTGCTCCATTGCCCGAGTTCTTCTGTTACTGCTGTTATTGCTCTGACCCATCAAGCCACCGTCGTCTTCGGTTTTGGTGCTTTTTTACCGTGCCGATTCTTCCAGATTGTTGTGGTTGTTTGCATGTGATGGACGTGTGGATGATTGCTGACGTCGTGAAGGCTAAGCCTGAAACTTGTCACCTGGGGAATTGCTGTCGCAAAGAGAGGGCTGATTTGGCATTATTGAATTGCCTGATGACTGACTATGTCCTGCGGTGGCAATGGAACTTGCAGCGGATGGCCGAGTCAAGCCTTTTCGTATCGATAGCTTGCCTTCGTTAGCACTAGAAGTAGTTGTAGTGCTTGGACCCACTGCAAAACTGCCGGGTGTGCTATCACTAGTACATGTAGTAGAGTCACTGCTTTTGGATCGTTTGGCTTTCGTCTTTTGTGCTTTGATCGCAACAGTGGCTGGAGCGGACGTGCTCTTGGTGGTAATGGAGGGTGGACGAGATGGATTCTTTTTTCGTCGTCGTCAGTTCCTTGATCCTTCTTGTTGGAATCATCATCATGGTCATCATCCTGTCGTTGCAATGTGACCAGGGAATTTGGTTCTGTAATAACGGCTGTGGTGTTACCGGTAGCTGGCACAGTACGTGTAGATGGAGCAGAGCTACTCCTTGTCGCCAGAGACTTGGTTCGTTCGGGAGATGGACTTGTACTCTGGTGAACATCAGATTGGCTTTGGTACATGACCATTGTTCGGCGAGCTTACTCCAAGGTGTCGCCATTGTCAAACTGAATCAGTAGGGTCTCTTGATTACTAGTGTTGGTGGTCACTTGTAGTAACGTTGGCGCCTTGTTCAAGTTGTCGTCCTGCACAGCAACCACTGCTTCCACACTGCTCCAATCCACGCATACCATATCGTCAGGATCCGTAGAACTACTACTTTCCTCGGGAACAGATAATGAAAGACCTTGCTGCCAATGGAGCTTCAAGCCCTCAAAGACCACAGAATAGGTCGTTGCTTCTTCTCCTGTGGCTGAATCCATACTATACTGCTATGTTAGGTTCGTTGCGACCAATACTACGACCGTCCAGTCTTCTCCTGCTTTGGTTGCCAACAGTCCACTCATCAGGATATATATATATAGATTACTATGGAATTACACTAGTAGGGGGGTAAGTGACTAAGTGATACCGGCTTGAAGGTAGTGGGGGAAGGGATCAAGGGGTGCATTGAAATGGCGGGGTTGGAAGAGGCCAGCCAGGGGGTCTGCAGGGGTAGTTCCTGAGGAGTAGAGTGTAGAGGAGGCAGTGGCAATAGATCTAAGGATGTGGTTCCCAAGGTGAGTGGACAAATTGAGTGCCAGGGAATGGTGAGCCCACCTGGAGGGGGAGAGTGGGGTGATTGTGGTATCCAGATTGGGGGGAGGGGTGTAGTGCTTATCTGCCAGTGGAAGAAGACCAGCAGGAGCAGATTGTAGTTGGGTATATGCAGTGGAGCTATGAGGTGGTAGGTTGTTGAACCAAGTCTCTGTAGGTAGGGGGAATGGGAGATTGCTGGTGCCATAAAGATATGAGTGGGCAGGGTTGCCTAAACCAAGGTAGGCAGGGGTCAATAGTGAAAGGTAGAAGGATGATGCCGGACTGAAGGAGGGCTTGGAAGTAGATGTGTGGGGAGACATTAGACTTGCTGGACAGCTTGAGCCTGGTGGCCCGGAGGTGGATCTTGGGAAGGAGGGATTTGGGAACAGATCTGGGTCCAGGTTGAGCAGGCAAGCTTGTCACAGTTACATCAATGGCAAGGAAGGATGCAGGGTGTGGTGGTGGTGTAGTAAGTGCAGTAGGTTGGAGAGCCAAACCCACATCAGCTGGACGCTGATTGGGAAAGTCCTGGTGGTCGAGAAGGCCTGTGGTTTCACAGGTAACTGCATGGGAGGAGTGGGTAAACTTGGCTATAGGTGCAAGATGAGAGGAGACATGGTACAAGGCGTCTCTAGCTCCATCACTGAACCGCTTCTTACTAAAGGCAGTGCACCCAAAGAAGTGATCCCCAAACTGATCAAAGGGCTTGTTGCACCTGGGGCACGGAAGGTTAACAAGGGCTGGGGGTAGGAGGGAGAGGCGGAGCTTGCGAGCCAGGAACACTAGGAAGATGCTGTCATTCAATCGGTTGTCTGGGAACCGACGGTTGTAGGATCGCAACGGGAGGCTTGTGAAGTGGGAGAGAATGGAGGGGAAGACTGCTTGGGTAGCAGGTGGTGCAGTGGGAAGGTAGGTTTGCAAGGACTTGAGGCATTGTTGTTTGTAGATGGAAGAAGCCATGCCAGGGAGATGGGAGTCAGTGACAAAGGTGGGGGTGGAGTGGATGTGGGAGTCAGGAGACTTGGTGGCATTGTAGGATGGGAGGAGAAGGGGGGCTAGTTTGGTGTAAAGGCGGAAAAGGGGAATCGTGGTGGAGGGCTTTTGCCATGACGAGAGAGCCCGGGCGTAGGTGGGGGGGATGGTGATGGTTTGATTGTCAGCAGTGGGGATTCCAACAGTGCCATAACGGAGGCTGCGGGTGGTAGATACAATAAAGGCTGGGATGGAAGAGAGGATGTTGTTGCGGGTGCCCAGGCCACCAGAGGATACAGGGTGTTGGAGTATATGGAGGGTGTGGGGGGGTAGGGCATCAACTGAAGCAAGTTGGACAATGAAGTTGTGGTTAGCCTGGGTGATGGAGGCTTGAAAGGGTGACTGCCAGTGGAAAAGGTCGATAGTGGTGGCATCCTGAGCTTGGCAGTGATGGTAGACATCAGCTGTGAGAAGGTGTTGGACTGATGGAATGGCACAGCTGTGGAAGAGTAGGAACTTGGTATGAAGGTCTGTGGGGCTGTGGAGGAGTTTGGAAAGGTTGGTGGAGTACTTGTGGGATGCTTGTGTGAGAAAGGAGGTGGCAAAGGCATCAGACCCAATTGGTTGGCCCAGGAATCTTACTCCAGTGATGATTTCAGGGTGCACATCTTTGCCAGCTTGGGTGTTGATGTAGGCTAGGGCTTCTTGGATGGCTGGGTTGGCTGATGGAATGCCAGAGGTGCCTGTGAGGAGCTTGGTCTTGGAGAAGTTGAGTTGGATTCCCAGGGGTTTGCCCTTTTCTTGGAAGGTTTGCAGAACCGGAATGATGTCGGTAGGGTGTAGAAACAGTGATGAGTCGTCAACATACTCTAGGGCAGAGCCAACTGTGCCTCTGCCGTCATCGCCGACTTGGTTGTTCTGCAGTCTGCCTTCTGCCCTGTCGTGGAGAACCTCTGTGACCAGTTTGAGGAGGAGGCACAGATTGAAGACAGACATGGTAGGAGCAATGGGGCATCCTTGTGCATGACCCTCCTGTTGGAGGAAGTGTTGGAGGTCATGGTTGTCATCGAAGTAGTAACACTTGTTTGGTGAAGAATAGAGTAGGTCATAGAGGGGCACAAGGCATGAGAACTCTGGGGACTCGATTAGGAAATCTCGAACGGCAGCACGAGATACTTCATTGAACATATTCTTGATGTCCAGTAGGAGAAGGGCTCGGGAGGGATCTGGACGAGACACAAACCTGTGCAACTGTGTACGAGCCACATCAACCATGAAATTCAATCCTCCTTTGACTGCAATGGCAAATTGGCCGAATGGAACAAGGTAAGTGGCTAGTCAAGATTGGAGGTACTCCATAGCGTATTTACCGACTACCCGCCTGAGGGCAGCACCCATGCCAATTGGTCGAAGTTTGTCGGGGTGGAGGGGTCTTTGTGGAGTGCCATAAAGTAGTTTGACGACAGGATGGGGCCAACTTGGGGTGGGAGGCGGTTGTTGAGGATCAGGAAGAGAAGCTGCCCAAACAGGCGAAGATATGGCTGAGTCGAAGAGCCCTTGGGTTGGTAGAGGGCAAAGCCGCGGAGAGTTTCTGGTAGATCTCCAAAAGGACCAGCGGCAGTTCCTCTGCGAAGGTGACGAAGTGTTGATTGGAGGATGTCACGGTCGATGGGGATGGTGGGAAAGGAGTTGGACTGTCGAGTGGAGATTGGATGCTTGGGTTGGTAGGAGGTGGGAGGTGGGTAGAGCTGTTGGCATAGGGCTTGGTTGTGAGGGTGCAGGGTGGCTACAGGCATGGCAGAAGTGATGCGGGCATAGGCATTGTGATAGTTATCTTCGTCTGCCGCTAGTTGAGCTGCATGGTCGATGTTGGTGGTGGTGGATCTGGATGGTAGTGGTGTTTGACACTGGTTGTAGAGGTCCTGGAGGTGACCTTGTTTGAATTGGACAATCCTGCTTTTGACCAAGTTGTTGACATGAAGGTAGCAGCCTGGGGGTTTGGGATGGAGGAGTAAGCAGTCAATGGTGATGAGGAGGTGCCAGAATGGAAGTGATGTTGACTGGTGGGAGGGCAACCTGGGCTGGGAGCTGGGTTGGGAGGAAGCAACTACCCATTTGTAGACCAGGGCAAGGGCTTTGTAGTATGCAGACTTTGTCTCAGCGTTGAGTTTTCTCCAGAGGTTAGATCTGTAGGGTGGTGGGGTAGGTGAAAGGGAGGTAAGCCACTGGAGGGTTTGGTCCCAAGTGGTCTCTATAGCATGGGGTAGTGTGGCTTGAATGATGTCAAAGTTGGTGTTGGTTCTGGGAGTGGTGGAGTTGGAATGGTTTCTGGTATTGTGGGCTTTCAGTGTAGGGGAGGATGGCTGTTGGAGGCTATTGTAGCTCTTGATGATGTAGAGTGGGTTAGAGGAACAGGATCTGCAGATGGTGAGGCCCAAGTTGGCTAGGTCTGGGTCTGTGAGGTGGTGAAAGGTGGCCTGTTTGTGGTGCTGTTGGATGTGGGCTCTCATGGTGATAGGTCCAGTGGTGCAGTGTGGGGTGGTGAAGGAGCAGAATGGGCACTGTGATGGCTGGGAGTGTGTGGTGTTGAAGTGCTGTTGTTGTTGTGATTGTGGGGATCCTCTACTAGTTGGGCTAGGCTGCCATGGGCAGTAGGGGCAACTTAGGCGGTTGGCTGTTGCGGGGTTCCAGCGTGAAGGAGGGCCTCATCTAAGAAGCGCATTTTAGCCACCCAATTTACCAGTGTGCTTGTGCGTGATGGTCTTGTGCAAGAGCCTCTACAGTCCGATGCAGGTGCCTACTATTAACTCAGCTTTGCGTCAAATGATCTTGATGTTGCCTATAGATTCGTACGGTACATTGCGTCATAATAAGCAAGGCTACAACTAGTGTTTACGCATATGCTTAACGAAAGTGCATGGAGAACAGAACATTCTTTACTATGAACAAGATTCTTGTGGTGCGCCTGCTTCAACATCAAATGGGCACATTCTTTGTGCACCAAGCTATAAACAGTTTACGCAATCGGCATTCATTTCCTTATGCCCCTTGGAACTGACCGCATTCTGCGCTTATCCAAGGCAAAAAATTTCGGTCCTCGTTTTGTTGTTTTGAGAGAGATAAAGTTTGCCCTTGTACCGAATATCCATGACCATCCCCTCTTTGATAAGCTCATCTACACTCTTCAGGAGCTCCTCCAGGATAAAATGATAGTCGGCCGCCTTGTCTGGATCCCTTTCCTTTCCGGTGTACTGGCCTGCTGCATGATCATTTGCATTTGCTTACCTTGCCGCATCCTCGGCAGCAACATGGCCCGACTCGGTGAAAATCTTTTGTCCTCTTGAATCATCTTTTGTGTAATTGCTCAACAATCCGATGGCCCTCCATGAATGTTCTTTGTACCTGGCCCTACGGTTCAGGATGCCCAGGGATATTTTCAATGCCGTAACTTGGAGCTTGTCAAACTGCCCTTTTACAGCCCCATCAATGTAAAGAGGTAAGGGCACTAAAATTTGCTTGTCAGGTTTGGTGATCAGCTTCTTGTACGTCTCACGATATGCTTATCCTGTATTGAGATCCCCAACTTGCTTCAAATCGTTGGGGTGTGGTGCAAAAGGATCTGGTTCACCGTTCTCGTTATCGAGGAACAGCCAATCCTCATCCTTCCATCGTGGATCAGTCAGAAGGCTTTTGACAAGATCTCGTGCATGTC